CAAATCGCGACATAAGAAGTCCCATGTTTTCAAAACAAAGTTCCATCTTCTTCAAAATAATTATTTAAATTTAAATTGAAGTTAAAATAAGCTTATTTTCCATCTTTAAGCGAAATTTTTTATTGAAGTTTTTTCGCTCTTGTTTTGAAACATGGGACTTATGTGGCGATTTGAATCATATTTTTAAATAAATAATTATATATATATATGCCATCTACAGACTGTTTTCACTGTATCAACTCCGTACATAAATTGTTAAATCTTTTTTGTATTTTTAGATTCTGCAGCACAAATTTGATGACTTCTTAAAAGAGCTGGGTTCTGGAGAGGATCGCATCACAAACATAAATCATAAAGCAAAGGTGATGATTGAAGCAAACCACTATCGGTCAGAGGAGATTGTTGAAGAAGCAAAGAAAGTTAGCCAATTATGGGAAGAACTCAATGAAATAGCTAAAGCTCGAAAAGAAGTAAGAAAAATTGATTTTAAAATTTTTTTTATTCTTCCATTCTACCAAAAAGTTGATCCTTATTCTTTTATTCCATCCTTATTCTTTTATTCCATCCTTATTCTTTTATTCCATCCTTATTCTTTTATTCCATCCTTATTCTTTTATTCCATCCTTATTCTTTTATTCCATCCTTATTCTTTTATTCCATCCTTATTCTTTTTTATTCCATCTTTTATTCCATCCTTATTCTTTTATTCCATCCTTATTCTTTTTATTCCATCCTTATTTTTTTTTCCATCCTTATTCTTTTATTCCATCCTTATTCTTTTATTCCATCCTTATTCTTTTATTCCATCCTTATTCTTTTATTCCATCCTTATTCTTTTATTCCATCCTTATTCTTTTATTCCATCCTTATTCTTTTATTCCATCCTTATTCTTTTATTCCATCCTTATTCTTTTATTCCATCCTTATTCTTTTATTCCATCCTTATTCTTTTATTTTATTCTTTTATTCCATCTTATTCTTTTATTTCTTATTCTTTTATTCCATCCTTATTCTTTTATTCCATCCTTATTCTTTTATTCCATCCTTATTCTTTTATTCCATCCTTATTCTTTTATTCTCTCAAAATAAGGATATTCATTTGCATCATAGTAGATATGTTATAATAACAAAAATGAAAACAATAGTCTGCATGTAAAAAAAAAAAAAAAAATGCATTGAAATTAGTTAAGAATCTAATTTCTATAATAATAAAGTGTTCACATACATAAATGCTATATGGAAATTTGTTGTTTTGCTGATATGCATTTATTTCCTGTGATAAAGTTCTTTTCTGATGATGCCAAATATTCAGTGAAACATATTCAAGTAAGAAATTTTATAAAATTTATATAGTGTTAAGATCAGAAACAGAATAGGAAGATAAATTTTGAACTTTAACATCACAGAAGAATTTAAAATCATCCCCACTCCATATTGTGTTATGCTACAAGTAGGTTATTGCCATTGTAATGAATGAAAGCCATCATAAGAAGAATAGTGCTTAAAAGTAAATGTTTGATACTTGATTTGTATTTACTTTGAAAATAAGCAAGAAATAGATGGTAAGTGGTCATGAATTAATATAAGTATTGCTCAAAGATTATTGCCAAGTGTTAACAAACTTCCCAAAATCTGACCAAATGACTAAACATCAGTTTTTCTTGTTTGTTTTTTTTCTAAGGATTCTTAATCATGCTGCATTTTTTTTCTTCTGCTAATCATTTCACCTCGTCAAGGGGATAAAGCCACTAATATGCAAGGGGTTTATGAGAGTGAAAGAAAATGAGGAAAGTTTTATTGAAGAGAAAGGACAATAAAAGAAAAGGATTAAAAAAGATTGAAGAGGACTATTGATGTTGCATTTAAATTTTTGAAAACTGTAATTGACAGGAAAGCAAAAAGCCAGAAGAGTTTCACAAGCAAGAAGTGCAAGAGAAGAAACTATTAGTACAGAATTTAGTTACATCTAGAAATTTCAACAGTAAAATGTGACCTAGCTGCCAATCAAGTACTGTACTTAAATTTATGAAGTCATACTATCAATAGCTCATCAGAACAATTGCCATAAAAATTTTCATAGAAAAAGCACAGGGAAGCTGTGTTAGAGCAGTGAGGAAGTGATTGAAGTTGAGATGCCAGGTTGGGACTGATAACATTGCAGATTCTTCTTTGGATTTTGTCAAGAATCTAGATATATATTGTAAATGTATTACTTTTAATTGTACTTGGAAAATGCATTGAAAATCTGAAAGAAAGGGATTATCAGTGGTCAGAAAGTATAAGCGTGACTAATATCACTATTATATGCATAAAAATTATCTAATGAAATTGTTTTTCTTTGTTAGGCTCTGATTAGTGCCCACCAAATCCATTTCTATGGCAGAGATACTCATGACACCTTGGAGTGGATCAAGGAGAAGGACACTGTTGTGGCCAGTGAAGATTATGGTCATGACCTTGAGAGTGTACAGTCATTACTGAGTCGACACAATGGATTGGAGGTGAGTAAACATTTTCTTTGATAATTCCTAGGGTAGGAGTGTCGGCCAGAATGCCTGTTATAATATTCACAGCAATATGTCTAACACAGGAAGTTCTGAATTTTTCATGTCTCCAATTCTTTTTTTTACTAAGCAAAGAAATCCATACTGGCCAAACTAGTACATCTTTCTGCAAGTCGAATAATTACTGTTGCTTTCAAATTTCTTACCTTTCAGAAATACCCTTTACTTATTACGTAGATCTTATCTCGGTTGAATGATCTGTCTCCATACAAGACTTTGAATTGGAATGGTAGACAATATAGATATGACTTTCTATAAAAAGGTAGGGACACTGGAAAATATCCTTCTGAAAAAAAAAAAGAAGACCCTCTCATTTTCTGTATTGATTGAGAAAGGTGTTGAGTGGTTGTTAATGTCCACTTTGATATAAAATAGGCATTATAGAAAATTTGCTCATGAGAACACACAAGAATTCATCCTCTTGTCCACTTTTCTTCAAAGAACTTAACATGAAACATGCTAGTTAATAACAGTTTACTGAATTTTTTTTTTTTTTTAATCTTTCTCTTTCTAAAGTTACCGATAGAAACAATGAACATACAGATAAAAACATTAACATTTTCTACAAAAATCAAATGCTTGGTAACTATAAGCAAGATGAATCTTCCCTTAGAAACATAAAGAAATATACGGCAGGTAACTTGACACATGGTGCCCATGACAGGAGACTTGATGCATGCCATCAACGATACACATAAGATTTAACATTTATGATTTTGTTATAAAAATTGACTTAAATGATTTTTTCTTTTTTTTTCTAGAGAGACTTGGAAGCTATTAGTGAGCAAGTTGAAAACATGACAAAACATGCAAAACAGTTGGTAGAACAAATACCTGATGCTAAAGATCATGTGGTTAACAAACATGAGATAATGGTGCAAGCTTGGAATAATCTTGTGGAGAAGTCTTCTGTAAAGAAAGAAAAACTCCTTCAGGCTGAAAAATTGCAGACATATTTCAATGATTATCGAGAACTGACGTGAGTAGTCAAAATATTCCTGTTTTATGTTTGATAATTTATTCATGTACGAATTGTTTTCAGTGGTACACTTAGCATAATACTGCTACTTATGTGTTATACCCCTTCAGGACATTGTCAATCAAGGCTCTCCACAATTTCCTATCCTTTGTAGGTCTTAATAAATTTTGTCTTTTTTTTTTTTTCTCTCTCCTAAACCTTATTCTGCCATCCATGTACTCAAGGTCACTAGGTAGGTTATGCATTTGATACTCACCAATTTTCCAAGCCATCTTTCCTCATTACGCAACCTAGAAATTTCATCTCTTTTCCTGATAAGTATAAGCATTTCATTTCCAGAATTTAAATATAGTCCTACAAAGTATACCATCAAAATCAAAATGGCAGTGCCCACGAGAAATCATTAAGCATCTTCATAGCAATTTGTTTCCAGTATATAGCAATTTCCTATTTTTTCCAAAATGGGCCAGTACAGTCAAGCAACAATGCTATAACAATGCAACAGTAAAAGTGTTAATTGAATATGATTGTAAGTTTAGATAAGCTTCTTTGAAAGAATTTTTCTGTTTTATTCTAGCACAGGATGATATAATCCTGAATATATCAACACTGACATTCACTTCAAAGATCATAAATCTGGCAGTGAAGAGGGTAAAAATGTAATAATACATCTGACTTTGGAGTATTGAGTGCATTTAAACCCTCTATACATAGAAGTTTGCAGCCTTGTATATCACAACCCGCTGAGCTTACCGCCAATCCAAAAATTCCTCCCATACCTTTCTTCATTTTCCTCTGATTGTGCCATGTTTTTTGTTTTTTTTTTAAATCCAGTTTCATGTTCAAAATGATCAGCTGCAGTCATAATGAATCAAATTTAACTACTCAAACAATTAATTCTACTGTGATATTTTTGTGTGCTGCTGTATCAAATATTTCTTGTCAGTCACTCCAAGATGATCTTTGTTTTCACTGTCTTCATTTGTCTTCTACAAACTGTTTAATTACTCTTTAATTTCCAAAATAAGACACTGGGACCATAAATTACTTGGTATCTTACCAGCTACTCTGACAAAGAAACTTGACTGTTATCTTGTCAGTTATTTGTTATATACTGTGTGTGATTGCAAGAATAACAAACAAAAACAACAAAGTATTGTCAGGTGAGGCAAAAAGCAAAGGAAACTAGATATGTTAAAATAAAATTGTCTTTATTGCCAGTATAATGGAATAAGGCAGAATATCTCTTTGTGGGCAAAGGAGACAGCCTAGAGGATGAGTTGGTTTTTTTCATGGGCTTGGTGTTAATGCTTATGCCAGGTTTGTTGACCTGGAGGCCACTGGTAAACTCTATGACCACCTGTCTACTTTTTAGTGTCACTGAATGGGTCTTTTAGCAGTCAGGGTGGATACATATATTAGTGTTTTTTGTCATGCTTTTGCTTTAGCAGTAATGTTAATGATTGGCTCTGATACTTGGATTTTATTTTATATATTTTAGGTTTTGTTTTGCAGAGAGTAACTTTATTTTTAATTTTGCTTTCATAGCATTCACATCTGGCCAACAGGTTTTGATGCAAAGTGAATCAGAACAAGATCAAAGCAGAATATAACATATTCAATGATTGTTCATTGCTTATGTTACTTTCTATGAATTACAGTTGCTTTGCATCGTCTAATTTACTGTCAGAGTAAGGAAAATTTCTTGTGATATATCGTGTCAACAGTGGCAGACTGAGTCTAAAAATATTGGTTGCCAGGAGTCAAAGGGGGCTCACCCACAACTATAATGCTATCATTTAATTTTTAAAAAGTACATATGGGAAAAAGGTATAATTAAGTTTTATGGAAAAAATGTATTTCTTTGTAATTAGTGTACATATACCATATGTGTTACTAGCAATAGATATTGTATTGAAACTTGATAAAAATAAAATATATCAACAAAAATAAAAAGAACTCTAATTAAAATAAGCCATTTATGCTTTCCTTTAAAACCTCTATCTTTCTCTAAACTTCTCTTTCTATACTTCTCTCAACCTACAAGAAGGAAACCCAGCCATAAACACTGGAAGTTTGCAGAAGCAAAGATGGCTCATTTATGACTGAAAAATACCCAAAATCAGGGAGGCTTCAAGCATAACTTCCATTATTAAAAAAAAAAAATAGGAAAAAGAGAGGAATGTTAGAAAATGAAATTTGGCTGATTAAAAAAAAAAATTGACACAGACTTTTGAGTTAACCGTAATTATGTTCGCACCAAATTCTCATGCATATTCAAAAGTGTAAAAATTTGACATCTCTAGGTCAGCAGAGAGGAGATCAGAACACCACCAGGAGACAATATAACAAAAGAACGCAGACATGCATAATGAAGCAGTCAAGGGATCATCTGCTCTGTTCAAGGCTGAGCGAAAACACAGCAGATTGGCATCTGACCTAATTTCTCACATTACTACTATCCCTATCATGGCTTGACTTCCAACTACTAAAACTGCTATCAATATCCACTTGTTTAATAGACTTTTTGCTACACTGAATAGCAAAGGACTTGCACATCACTCTAAAGAAAATGAATATATAATTTATTTTACACCCTTTTAGTCAGTCTATTTTATTCCTAAAGTTTCCAATAAAATAATTATCCTTCTACCTATCTACATGGGCAATGTTCAGATGTGAATCCATATGCCACAATACCAAATGTAAATACAGAATGTTATAATTTAATTTTTTATCTTTTTAATTTTAAGTAATTGGTTGATATTTTTAAATAGTTTATTATGCAGTTTACACATTAACAGATAGTTCAAAAACACAATAGAACATTGCATGCAGTCTACTATATTAATAACAATCATTTGTGTTCATTAGATGATTGTGTGAAATCTGCCAGTAATTGTTTCTGCATTCAGTTCATCTAACAAATTCCTTTTCAATGGATAGCAACATCTGATTCCAGATTCTCCTCAGACAGCGAATTTCTTAATGTTGTCATTGAAAATGTCCTCTTACATTGGACTTGAGTAACTTGTTATAGACAAGCATATGGTTGCAAGAAAGAAATACGACAACAGCAGAAATAGATTTACGTGATTTTTCAATAGGAACGTGTGGGTTTGGGACAGCTACCTTGTGATATAGTTCATAAGCCGGCTGCTGATCTGGGTTGATCTCTCATAGTAGTTCTCACTGGTTAGCGTGGCGCTCCTCCTGCTGACTGCCCAGAGTGACCGTGACAGATCTCTTCCCTGGCCTCCTGTTGACTGACTTGTACTTCCTCGTGTGACCACTTTTATGGCATTTTTTATGGCTTAACAGGCTCGAAAAACACAGTGAGTATAATTAGGAGGGAAGCATTTTTATTGGTCAAGAAATAGGAACACTTTAAAATATTATTTTATTTTTCGACTGGAACACGTGCGTCGGGCCTATGCATAAATGACAATAATGGTCATTATGTGACGGGGCCTTGTCCTGTTCACATCCAGCTTTCGCTCTTGAGTATGTTCATTTGCCTGCAAATCAGCTGAGATATGTTTTATTTTATTTTATAACAAACTGATAGTGTTCAGATGACTTTATAAAGTTCTTATTCTTTTTTATTACTAAAACAGTTGTCTGTTTCTTTATTGCATTTTTATTTGATATAGGGGGCCCACTCCATGAGGAACAGACTTGCCATTGAACAGGTTGACTCTCTGGCTAGTCCATGGCTGCTTGTCAATTGCTGCTAAGTGGTTAAGAATATATTAGAAACAATGAAGAATCTGAGTTTATGTTCTTAGTTCTGAAATGTTTTTAATGTCCAATTGTTTTGTTTTTATTTGATGAGGAGGGAGATAAACACTTTGTAAAACCTTTTTCTCAATTTTCTTTTTCTTGTAGGGCATGGATAAATGAGATGATGAGTTTGATTTCTGCTGAAGATCTTGCCAAAGACATCGCTGGGGCTGAACTCTCAGTCAATCGGTTTAAGGAGTTGAAAGCTGAAATTGACAGTCGGCAAGAACCTCTCAACAAATTCAATCAAATTGGCAAGGGATTAATTGAAAATGGACACTTTTTATCAGAAGAAGTAAATCTCTTTATCATTTTCCTTCTGATTTTCTTTTTCTAATTCTACATTTTCTATGTGTTTGAGGTGACAAAAGAATTGTTCTGCCTCTTGTTTTCAGAAGACTGACATCCTTACTGTTAGTTGAGCAACTACATTTTTGTTTTAATTTTGTTTCTAGCTGATCCACTCTACAGCCTTTTTAATGTGTTCACTATGTAAGGGTTTTCTGGGGGGGGGGAGAAATTAGTAGGTTGTGCCTGTAAAAAGGGCTGTAGAAAGGATCAGCCAAAATTTTATGGTCACAAAAGCAATGAGTTCAGAAGTCTGAAGAACTTAGAATCTTTTGATACATGACTGACAAGGCAGATTTTCTTTTTTCCCTACAGTAGGTTGCCATTTATTTCTGTGGTAGACCAGTTGCCATCCAAAGCTATAGAACCCAGTCTGTCCTGCTACTTACTCATAACTGAGGGGGGAGTTGTCAACTACTTCTCATTATAACATTAATATGACAAGTATACTACCAAGGGTTTTGACAAAATGGAATTGTTCAACTACTGATAATGTAAGATTGTGTTATCTCTCAGAAACTCTTAAGGTCCACTCAGCATAGTATTGTGGGCCACTTGTATCCGAGTATGCCTACCTGTTATAGTGGTTAGGTATCAGACACATTTGTGTTTGTTCAACACCTACAAAGCCAAACAGTAGTTTATACTACAATCTAGAGAATTAGCAATATTATTGCAGCAATTGAAATAGTACATGTAAGTGAAAGAAAAAAATCAAGATGTTGATGTTCCACATTACTTCAAATAAAAATACCAAAGGAATCGCTCATCACTCTAAAGTTTACACATTAACAGATAGTTCAAAAACACAGAACATTGCATGCAGTCTACTATATTAAAGACAATTGTTTGTGTTCATTAGATGATTGTGTGAAATCTGCCAGTAATTGCTTCTGTATTTTGTTTTTCTTACAAATTCCTTTTCAATGGATAGCAACATTTATGATTACAAATTCTCCTCAGACAGAGAATTTCTTAATGTTAACATTGAAAATGTCCTCAAATATTGGACTTGAGTAACTGATAGTGTTCAGATGACTTTATAAAGTTCATATTCCTTTTTTTTACTAAAACAATTATCTCAGTACTGGAAAGAACCAACATTTACTGAACTTGAGAAACCTATTTTCTTGAAAAGTTATTTTAAGACAGACATTTTTTAAAATTCTATCAATAACAGTGGCTGCTCAGTTAATGAACGTTGAATATTTTCTTATAAGGAAATGGCTCATATTAGTTACCATTATCAGCTAAATTGGTTGAATCTTCTATAACTGAAGACTTGAATATTGAATCAATGATCATTTTGATCTGAGTATTTTCAGTCATTCTAAATTTGGATGTAGTGACTGACAGTCAATTCTGAATCTATATCATGAAGTTTTTTACATCCTGGTAAGATGTTAAACTACATCCACGTCCTGGGAAAGACAATAAACTACGTCCAGCAGCATGGCCTCTGATCAGGAGGTTTTGAGGAGCATGGAACCAACTCTTACATGTACAACCAAATTGCTGGTGTTCCCAGGGTGGTAGCACCTGTTAGGGTCCCAGCTATGGGCAAATAGTTAAATATTACCAGCCACACTTTTTTTTAAAAAATTATTACCAGAAATATAATTTTGACAGAAATGTATTACCAGAAACAGATTTTTGACAAGACAAAATATTACCAGCAATAATAAAAAAAATTTTTTCAGCATTAAATAACCCATTGAGGTTGATATGCAATAAAACAAAATAAACCAAACCAATCTAAACCTAAGAATACATATTGTATTCATACAAATCTATCCTAAAATGTTGTCAGCATTAAACCCATTGAGGTTGATATGCCATAAAACAAAATAAATCAAATCATGAAGTAGTTTGGTCCATAAGTGTAAACATATTCTTGTGTATAATGACTTTAGTATAATATCACCATAGTGAATGGTTGCATGAGAAACAAACACAAATCCTTCACTTAAACTGTGTTGATATTCACAAGTCTGGTAAGATTACAGATGAAACATCTAGCCACAACTTCATCTGTTCTCTTTTCCTGACATTCAATCCATGGAATAATGGATTGTAGCTTGGATTGAGGGATCGGAGCAGAGTTTGAATTCCAGTCAAGTTCATTACATTCATTTATGTGCTAATACCCTTGGGGAAAGGACATTCCGTTATGTCCTGGGGAAAGGACATTCCGTTATGTCCTGGGGAAAGGACATTCCGTTATGTCCTGGCGAAGGACATTCCGTTATGTCCTGGCGAAGGACATTCCGTTATGTCCTGGCGAAGGACATTCCGTTATGTCCTGGCGAAGGACATTCCGTTATGTCCTGGCGAAGGACATTCCGTTATGTCCTGGCGAAGGACATTCCGTTATGTCCTGGCGAAGGACATTCCGTTATGTCCTGGCGAAGGACATTCCGTTATGTCCTGGCGAAGGACATTCCGTTATGTCCTGGCGAAGGACATTCCGTTATGTCTGGCGAAGGACATTCCGTTATGTCCTGGCGAAGGACATTCCGTTATGTCCTGGCGAAGGACATTCCGTTATGTCCTGGCGAAGGACATTCCGTTTATGTCCTGCCGAAGGACATTATTATGTTCCTGGCGAAGGACATTCCATTCCTGGCGACATTCCGTTATGTCCTGGCGAAGGACGTTCCGTTATCCGTCCTGGCGAAGGACATTCCGTTATGTCCTGGCGAAGGACATTCCGTTATGTCTGGCGGACACATTCCGTTATGTCCTGGCGAAGGACATTCCGACATTCCGTTATGTCCTGGCGAAGGACATTCCGTTATGTCCTGGCGAAGGACATTCCGTTATGTCCTGGCGAAGGACATTCCGTTATGTTGATTCCTTAAGAACAGATATTGCCAATATATCATAACTTTTTGTAAACAATTATCAACATTTGCCTAATTTGTGTTTTATTATCTATTGTGCTTACTGAGTGTATTTGTAATCTTACTGTTTCAAACAAAAGGTTTTTAAGCTGAGTAAAGACTTCTGCAAACATGTATTTGTATATAATATGACGCCCCCCCCCACATGCACTCACTTTTTTATCTTTAAATTTCATTTGAAATTTCTTTTATTGTATACAAGAAAATACAATACCCATATTATCTCTCAGCTTATTGTTTTATGACTCATTTAGGTGTTGATGTATCAAAAGTTTTACCTTTTACATTATTATTTGTGCAGATCCAGCAGAAGATTGAACAATTGAATGAAGCATACAAGAAACTTCAGCAAACATGGAAAGAATACAAAGAGTATCACGAAGATAATCTTGATGCACAGGTAAGGAATGAATTGGGTGCTTTTTGTTTTGTTGCTTTTTTGCTTTTGGAAGTGTGGGTGGTGTAATGGATAATGGCTCAGAATTGTTAATCAGTGAGCCAAGTTACAATTCCCATTGGGTTCATTGTATTCACTTAATGTTGTAACCTAGGGTAGATTATTGAATAGAATAATCAAATGAAGGTTGGTAATGACTGATAATACTTAGGACATGAACAACACATGTAAGATTTGCTAGCAGCACATAGAAGTAGTAGTCAACTGCTAGAAGCGAGTCAAATGAATTCCACAATGAATCTCCAACTGCAGACTAACATACAGTATTTACTACTGTATTTATGTGAATGGAGACATCCCCATTATTGTCTGTAGGTATGCTACAACACTTACAGACACCTTTGGGAAAGGTACACATCCACCTCTTCCTTTCCCAGCTATGGGTTAATTTGTATGATTTGTATCGGAAAACAATTATCGCAAAAAAAATCTCATCTAAAAATGCATATGATCACATCATATTGAAACACCAGTTCTTGTACAATCACCAAAGTTAAGCAACATTAAGCCCAGTCAGTACCTAGATAGGTGACTGCTTAAGGATACCAGGCGATGTAAGCTTAGACGTGTAGGTGGTGTAATGAATAATGGCTTTGAATTGTTAATCAGAGACTGAGTTGCAATTCTAGTCGAGTTCATTATAATCCTTTGTGCAAATACCTTTGGGAAAGGTATGAATCCACCTTTTCCTCGCAGCTATGGGCTAATTAGGAATTTGTATCACTAAAATGATTATCCCTCTCCCCCAAAAAATCCTACAATCTAAAACTATTTTCTGGATTTTAAATAACCTGCAAAAAGTTAAGCTGTAGAAAACTAATCAATCAATCCATTCATTCTTTCCTCGCAAAATATTGAGGTTTCATTCTGGGAAGTTTGAAGTTTTCTGACCAAATAGATTTTTTTTTTTTTTTTTTTTAAGGGCTTCTTGCTAAAGACTGATAACTTTGTGTGTGTCTCTCTCTCTCTGTGTCTCTCTCTCTCTGTATGTGTATATATATATATATATATATATATATATATATATATAAAAATTATGCATTGAGTGCTGGTGCTAATAAAATAGTACTCAATATAAAAACACATATAATACATTTTCTTTTCCTCACTGGTAGCACAAGCCTGATGTTTATGTGCAACAAAATCATCACATGCTGATTTGAAAACTGAAAATTAGTCAGTCTTCAATCAGCACCTGACAATATGCATCATACTACTGATACAGAAAATATATATATATATATATATGAAATTTTTTTTTTCGTAGGGAGAGGGGTTGACATTTGTAAAAAGTTTACATGTGATGTGCTTTGTTGATGCAACAACACATGCCCATAAAAGAAAGGGAATGCCAAGAACTTTTAATTATTGTTATTAAATATCCTATATTGTGATAATAGATCTGCTAAGAAAAGTGAAATGTAAGAACCTAGACACACACACAAACACACGTGTGTGTGTGTGTATATATATATATATATATATATATATATATATAAATAAAAGCTTATTAGGATATTATATTTAGTAGGTAAACATGTCTTTCTTTTTAAACAGTAATTCTAATGTCCACCAGCCAAGATATTCAATATGAGGAATTTTAATCTCTCAGCTGAAGTTTAACTGTTTTAAAAAAAAAAAATTGTTTACTCAAACATGTGTACCCAAGATATGTTTTAAGCAGTCAATAGATCTCCCAATCTAACATTATTTCTTAAGACACTGCTGTTTCAGATAAGGGGGTGCATTTTCAGATATGGTAACTTATTTGTGCTATTTTTGTATTTAAAATCTTGTTTCAGAATGTTTTATTTGCAAATTAAATATGTTTGTATAATTGACAGCGTTTCCGCCATGACATGGATCAATTTGATGCATGGATGTCGATCCGTGAACCTACAGTGAATGACAAGAATTATGGAGATTCAATTCCAGAAGTTGAAGAATTGATTCGAAGACATGAAGACTTTGAGAAAACAGTTGCTGCCCAACAAGAAAAGCAGAATAGTCTCAAGAAAACAACTAAGGTGGGGAAAGCGTAATTTTGTTGTTGACTCTTAGAACTGAAGGTGTTTCTGTCTTTGGCTTTTAGAACTGAAGACGTCTCCTTGTTTTTGGGCACGGAGCCGTCTCCTTGTTTTTGGACACGGAGCCGTCTCCTTGTTTTTGGACACGGAGCCGTCTCCTTGTTTTTGGACACGAAGCCGTCTCCTTGTTTTCGGACCTGATATATAGCAGAAGCACCTGACCAGACATAGCAATATTTAATGCATGGATAAATAGTTAGATTATAAATGTGCAAGATAAATTCTGACAAAATAATTTATCACACAACATTGTGAACCAACTTTCCTAGCTGCATACTTAGCAATTGATTCAATTTACTCATTCCATCTCATGTCAATGGAGAATGTGAGACCAAAAAGGCACAGTGGTTTGGTCTCCTGGAGGTTAACATCAGCTATGTTGATACAAATTAAAGTGTGTTCTTTAAGATGATTAAAACTATTTGCTTAATAATGTTTCTCAAAATTACACAAAGTACTCATTGTTATCTCTTTACCTACAACACTGCAATTTTATTGTGGTGGCAGGGTTTCTCTAAAATACTTTTACAGGTTAACTTACAACTCGGATTTTTCTAGTTTGTATTTTTGATTTTATAATTTTGGCCATGGATGTTATTGAAATTGTCAGTTTTGATGAACATTATTTTAGTTTTTCATTATGCCATTGCAGGTTGAAGAAACTTTGGCTAAAAAGAAACTAATGGAGCAACAGAAGCAGTTGGAAAAAGAATCCAGGAAAGAAAAAGACAGACTAGAAGAAATTAAGCGTAAGGAACAAGAAAGAATTCTTCAGGTAAATCCTTTCTTTCATACACTTTAGAGTTGGTGTTTGAATTCTAAGCAGTCAAATGAAATCATTTCCAAAGAAAAGTTTTGCAGCCAAAGAAATTCTTTGAAAAACTTGGACCTTTGTGTCCACTAAAGAGTATCAAATGGACAGTTTTTTCATTAATAACACTATTATTTTAACTCCTTCACTCCTCAGATTGTTTTAAAAAGTAATGATTAGAATTGTAATAAAACTTACACATCATAAAAGTGAATTTATACATTTTTTTTTTTTTTTGTTTGAGAATTTACAGTAAAAATATTAAACACTAGTAAATTGTTTATTTATAAGAATAATTTTATATTTACAACATTCTAAAAACTAATACATTTAAAATTGATGCAATGCAATATTCATCATCTACCATTTTATAAAGTTCTAGTCAATTGGCAATTAGCAATTTTTTTTTTTTACCGACCATTCCAATAAACAATCTAAAAAAAATGTAAGTTCTTGGTACCTTCCCCCACACTTTTTTCAGTTTCAAACAATTATGGGATTTCTTTTTACATGAGTCTGAAAAGTAAAATGTTTTGGTGCATTTTCTAGGTTTGAATAACAACCACTAGCATTGTTTAAAAATATGCAACATCCTCAGCCACTAACTAGATTCAAAAGAGAAAAGGAAAAATAAAATCTATTCTATATTCTGTATAATAATTGTTCTTTGTCGGTGTGTATACATTTTCATTTGCCAACATGAAATGTTATAGGTGCCAATCTTGGTTCAGATGATTGCAGAAACATCCACCTTCCCAAATACTTTGTCTTGTCTCTTTTATATATTTCTAAATGTTCAAAAGCAACAAGTAATCTAATCAACTGTTAAGAATTTATCTGTATGTAAGCAAACAGATATTTCCTTAGTACTTGATAAATATGGATAAATATTCACTTCTATTAGCTGGCAACCAATATTCATCTGAATGATTTGTGTAATCATAACAATGATTAACCCTAAATAGATTTCAATTGTTAAAACCTTCGAGTCCTAGCAGAATTATTGAAAAATTTGAATAGTTGATGTTAGTGCAACTAATATATTTAAAACCATGGAAAATCAGTTATTACAAGTTGCTTTCTCTCTCAAATGATAGCAAATTTAGTCACCTTGGTAGTACTGATTTCAGGCATTACTGGTCTATAAGCATGCAGAACTTGAAGTTGCATTTAGACATTTTTGGCTTTAAAGGGCTAATTGCTTGCTTGTTTGTTTTTTTTTTCCTCCTCATTTCACCTAAATGAAGCAAGAAAACGAATAAAAAGGTGAAAGAAACTGAGCTTTTCAAAAGAAAAGACAAAAGAACAGGATTTAAGGAGACATGATGGTTATTGATGTTGCATTTAAATTTTTGAAGATAGTAGTTGACAGGAAAGCAAGAAACTAAGTTTCATAGTTGAGAAGTGCGAGAAAAAAAAACGATTAGAATGTGACTTTTGAGTACATCTAGGAATTTGAACAGTAAAATGATGGAAACGAGCTTAATTTTTTTTTTTTTAAGTTGAGGTATTAAAGAGGGAAGCTCATCAGAAGAAAGGCCATGAAAATATTTATGGAAAAGGCACAGGGAAGATACATTATGCCAGTGGGAAAGTGATTGAAGTCAACATGCTTTGATTGATAATATTGCAGATTCTTTTGATTTTTTTGTGTATATATATATATATATATATATATATATATATATATATATATATATATATATATATATATTATGTGGTACTTATTAGAAAGCGCTCAATATCAGAGATAGAGCTAACATATTTGGTTGGATTGATGTGAGTTTGTGACTCTGAGTTTCGTGCTTTTTGTGATCGTCAGACAAACTGATTAATTTTTTTAAAATTTTGGGTTTATGTAGATTGCATGTATTAGTGTTATTATGGAAGTGGGGAGGAAATCGTCGCCGTGATGTCACTCATGCTAATGCAAATATGGATGCATGTCTGTACACCCGATGAGGTACGCAGACACACATATACACACTCGCTCGTCTGCCGGGGCTCATACAGACATAAACATATGTGGACAGTATGGGATTTGACATATATGTATGTATATGTGTACTGTTGTCTATATACATAAGCATTTGTATGTTGAAATTCAAAAATTAATCAATTTGTCTGACGATCGCAAAAGCATGAAACCCAGGGTCACAAACTCGCATCAATCCAACCAAATATATATATATATATGTCTCATAGTAAAATAAAAGTTCAGAAAATGAAGATGGTTGTAGAATATTGACAAACAGTTAAAATTATCAAGGATGAACATTATTAGCTTCATAAATTTGTTGAATAATTAGTTTAAATTACAACTTAAGCAGAAAGCTTGACTTAAATGATTTTTACATTGTTTTTTTTTTTTTTTTTTCTTTTAGGAAAGGAAAAAAGATGATGAGTGGATAACAAGAGATTCAATGTTACAACGTTCAGAGTGAGTTGTCTAATCTATTCTTTTCCTATTAGTTACTAACTGAATCCCTATCTACTCACCTGGCATTACTAATTTTGCATTGTCACATTTAACATTTTTACTAGTGATATATAGAAATGGTCAGAATCCTGAGAGTTATTGCTTGAGATGTAAAAAATTTTTTGCGGGTGAGGGAGGCTGGCAGAAAATAATAATAAAAAAAAAAAAAAAAAAAAGTTACATACAAACATTTCTTAGTTAATGACTTACCTTTTAAATGACACCTCCTCTCCATACTTACAACCAGCTCTAAGTCAAGCAGTCTTGTGTACATACATAACCAGCAATTTTTGTCATTCTTCTCTGTACTCGTATCATATTATTGTGCTCCCCTTAAAGTACATGATTTTTCACAAAAAGGAAGAGCCTGATTGTACCTGGAGGAAACAAGAAGCAAATGAATGCCAACAATCTTCCACATATTAAAAAAGACAAATCCACCAAAATGTAAATGTGGAAGCCTAATCACAATAAGACATATTCTATCAGAATGCAAAATCATAACTAGAATAAGACAGAAATATCTCAATGGAAAAGATTTAAAAGAAATATTCAAAAATACAGACACAGAAAAAAATATACAGTTTTCTCAAGGAAATAAAAATCCTCAATAAAATATAAATAGTGTATATATATATATATATATATGCTTATAGACATATATATGCATCTATGAATGTAAACAGTAAAATACACAATCAGAAACGGTCACAAAAAAGCAATCCAAAAAAAATACAGAAAATTATGAAACCCAACAACCTTTCATCTTTTTTATACAAAATAACCAACTTAAATTCATAAATTAATAAGGCTTCGGCATAAATTGACCCAAATAGGAGTTGACATGCCGTTAAATCCAACATCCATCCATCCAACAATCTTCAAATGAAAATGATCCCAAAAGATTAAGGGTGGGGGAATTAATAAAGTGATTTTTGGAATAAGCTATTATTAAGTTTACTTAATAGGTTATTCAAAAAATCACTTGAGAATGGAACAGAGCTATGGATTTTAAATTTTATTTTATAATTTAAAATTTTAGTTTGTTTTGAAACGTAATTCCTGTGTTGCGATGGAACCATGTTTTTAAAATAGAAAATAGTTATATATGAAAGAGATCAAATTCAGGTCAAATGTGTATCGGAATCCAACAGGATGATAAAATAAAAGAAGAAATATATCAATCTAAAATGTTTCCCTTTTATTAAAGCTTTGTCAGAGATTGACAGAATTGGATGTATTCCTATCAAATCAATTTTTTTCTGTTTTCTATGCATATTTAGTTATTATGCATCTGTGTACAATTTATTATATGAAAAGTAGGTTTATTCATTACTTGGAAATACAATAAATTAAAAATTTGTATGGATATGTTCCCCCCTATATATATATATATATATATAAACACACACACTCAAACTATTTTTTTAATATACATTCTCTTTAAATTTTATTAGGATTTTATGGGTTCAAATTTTGTTTTCTTTAACTATCAATTGCTGAATTAGCTTCATAATTCAATATCCTATTTATTAAACCACTAAATTTTACATTTGGCATTTGATCTGTACTAACATTCTTAACTCATACTGCAAAAAGATAAAATATTTTTATACACTTCACCTTTTAATTTTTTAATAAAAAATAAATATTTTATAGCATTTACTATTTACTGGGTAAGTATTACTTGCTACTAATCTACTGTTTTCTTTTCAGCTTTAGCAGCTGATTTGGTATGTTGTCTTGTTGCTTGTGATATAGTTTGGTGATGGCTGTAAATCTCTAGTGGATGGTGGTGGCCATATTGAAATAATGCATGTTGGGATACTTGTTCTAACTGTTGCTTACATGTTATGCTGGCGATGAACATTTTAAGTCAGTTAAGATTTCTTGCTTTATAAAATGAATTTTCAAAATTTAACTGCAAGTGTTGTAGAATTGGATTGCGTAAACAAAACTTTAGCAGCAAAAGCCATTGTAATTGTACTGAATTGATATAATCTGGAGGAAACCCCTTTTGAACTTCAAGAAAATGATCAGATTATATTTGCTCTCAAACTTTTTTTCTTCCTGGCTTCCCTTTTTTTTTCCTTTTTCTTAAATATTCATTAGCTGGGGGTAAAAGAATTGGATCTGTAACCTGGTGAAGGTGGTGTTGACATTTACAGAAATCCCACTAAAAATATATATATATATATATACACACACACACACACACACACACACACCTCTTGCTTTGTCCTCAATCCATACCTGATAATTGCATATAGCATGAAATGAAACTAACACTCACAGAGGTATACAGGGTATTTCATTAAGATGGATTATATATAAGGGTGTTTCATTAAGACGGATCAATCAGCAGTAAATAAATCTGTGTTATTGGTGAAAATTTATTTATTTTTCTATTGGATCATGTTATTTAAATCATGGCAATTATCTGTGAAAAATATCGCCCAAATGACGGCCAAATCTGAAAGAAAAAGAAAAAAATCATTAGATGCTTAAACTTAATTCACATTTAAAATCAGACCAAGTTATTGGAACACCTTTTATAAGGTCTGATCAAAAAGTATCTGGACTGTTGCTATAAAAAGAAAACAATAATGCATATCAATTTGGTATTTAATCTTCTTCAAAGTAGTCTCCTTCTGAAGCCACACACTTTATCCAGTGTCATTTCCATTGATGCAAGAATTTCTGGAACTTCTCTTTTGGGATAGCAAACAGCTGCCTCATCATATCCGTTTGGATTTTCTCTAAATCATAAAATCTTGTTCAAGTCTGATTTGATACTTGGAAGGAGAAAAAAGTCAAATTTTATCTAGTGTTGCTTCCATTGATGGGAGCATTCCTAAAAATCCTTTTTTTGTGATAGCAGCTGGTTCATCGCAATTTCTTGGATTTCCTCAATGTCTTCAAATATGGTTCCTTTCAAATGGGATTTGATTTTTGGAAAGGGAAAAGTCACAAAGGGTAAGACCTAGGTAATATGGTGGTTGTTGGACTTCTTCACATAGCCATGAAGCAGCATTGACTTTATTGTCTACTCTCATATTTACCACATACTCTATCCCAGATATTGAATACTTTTACCAACACACACAGCATACCTTTTAAAACTATATTTTAATTATATGTAGATGCCCTTATGGCCACATCATGTTGAAACACTGGCTTCTGTACAATCACCAAAATTAAGCAACGTTGAGCCTGGTCAGTACCTAGAGGGGTGACTGCTTGGGATTATCAGGTGCTGTAAACTTGGATGTGTGAGTGGTGTAATGGATAATGGCTCAGAATTGTTAATTGGAGAGCAGAGTTCCAATTCCAGTTAAGTTTGTGACTTATGCTCATATACCTTTTGGGAAAGGTATGAATCCACTTCTCCTTGCACATTATTAAAACTTGTATCACTAAAATGATTATCTCCCCAACCCCTCAAAAAAAAAATTGCATACAAAATATTTAGATTTTGGCATTAAATATCGCATAGAGGTTGATATGCTGCTAAACAAAACCACAAATGTGTGTATATATATATATATATATATATATATATATATATATATATATATATATATATATACACACACACACACACACACTTCCTTTAATTATCCATTAATGGTCTGTTTCTCAATTAGCAGTTTTCTAAAATGGGTGCCTGATTATTTATTTTTTTACTCTCCTGAGATCTATTGTTTTTGTGTCTATAATTTTAAAGTTCCCATTTTGAAAAATTGCTAAGCCAAAAATAGGCTATTAATGAGTAATTAAAATTTTTTATGTGCATTAAAAAGCTTTTCTTTTTTTTTTTTTTTTTTTTTTTTTTAAGTATTTAAAATAGATCACTTTTATCTATACAAGAAAAGGAATATATATAATCTTCATTGAAGGCTTGGCATATGTTACTTTACAACTTTGCCTATTTTCTTGTATGTTTTTCTGTTGGTATATGTGAATTTTGCTTCAATTCTAGTAAACTGAACTTTCCAAGTTAAAAATAAAGCCCAAATGCATGCTTGGTTAACTTTTGTTATTTAATTTTTTTTTTTTTTTTTTTTTTTTTTTTTCCAAATTCAAAAAGTGTTTTACATGAGCTGAATATTTTACCTGCCTGTTGATGTCACTCAGGAGAACAGGTGTATTAAAGTAGTTTATTTTTAAAGGTAATGTACATCAGATCATATTTCAGCAAAAGAATTCATAGCTTACATTTTGTTTATTATTTTATTTTTTATTGTCAGGCCAGAAGTAGGGGCTACAGAAACTGCAGGAGATGGTCATAAGCTTGTGCAGAATCTCTTGAGACGTTCAGTGCGTGAAAAGACCAATCCCCTGACACCATCCCTCAAACGAACATCCAGTCTGAACCGCCAGTCTTCCGTGAATGATGATCTAGCTGCTTCCAGGGACAGTCCTCAGACAAGCCCCCCTATTATGCAAAAAAACAAACTCCCTGATGAATTAAACAAAGCAAAAAGAACCCCAAGCCTAAGCCTGAAAAGGCGTGCCACAAGTTTCCGTGAAAAGTACCAGTTACCAGCTAAGCTCCCACCTAGAGAGTTTGAAGGATTTTTAGAGCGAAAACATGAATTACAAGCTGGTGGCAAGAAAGCTGTTGTTCGTTCCTGGAAGACTTTCTACATAACTCTCTGTGGCAAGATTATGTGTTTCTTCAAAGATAAAGATAGTGAGTTTTTCTCTTTCATTTCTTTATTGGTTGAAATTAAAGTTACGAGTTCGTATGTTATTTACATTATTCGGACTATTGTCCTCATCTTTGTCGCCATATTTATCACAACGTTTCGGGCGTTGTATGCTCAGGCCTTCAGGTGGTTGGAATTTCGATTTGAACCCTTTATTTCGCTCACTGGGTTAGACTGTTCTAGTCCCACGTGCTATGTTTGATGGATGTCAGTTATCAGTTATCTCCTGCTAATTTCCCTCTGAAAGTTCTCCACTGCCTTAACCGGGTATTGAACTCACACTCTTTGGGTACTGTCACTGGATCTAACCAACGCCTTTATCCCCTGTGACACATGTTGGTGTATGGTAGGTGTATGCATGTCCACACATGAACAATTTAAGAGTAACAAAAACCTTGGTTTTTACTATGGATTTTTTTTTTTTTTTTTTTTTTTTTGTTATAGAAGAAACTGTAGGGAAAGAAAGTTTTCAATGTATCTTGGCTATGTCTATTTTTCTTTTTCTGGCCTGGAAGTAAGGATAAGACTGGTTATAATATATAGGAATTTTCCTGGTTGTGTGTGCTCTGTAATGTATAGAGTGGAATGAACAAAGCCAAGACTTGAAATAACTGTTTAACAGCTTTTATTTGTGGTTGAAAGAGAGTGCAAAATAGTGGTATTTTGTGGGAAAGAGTTGGGTTTCCCATTGAAGAGCTCTTCCTTTGAATAGATGTTTTGAACGAGGATTTCTCTACTTGTTCTCCCGATGAATGAGAAATCTCAGTGTCAAACTGTTGGGATTGATACAGGCCTTTGGCAGCAAACATTATGAGTCGGTGTCTCAAAATGAGGTTGTGGATCATGAAATCTCAATTTCAAGATGCTTGTAGTGGGCCCCCACCCCCTGGAGGGGAAGTGATATAATACAGCCTGTGTGCCTCAATAAAGCATAGTGGTCACAAGAGGCCCACTAATATTAAATTAAAGATGTGAAATCTCACAGGTCAACAAGAGGACAACAAACTTAAAATTAATACAAGATCTATTTTACATGAATATAATAGAAGCGATTCATTTAAAGGAGCGAGGGTGGGGGCAGAAGTAAATTGTGGAATACTGACTGGCTAGATCTACATAATACAACTATGACTAAATGCTAAAAGTAGTCTATGTAAATCAAATTGGCATGTAAGACTACAGTTCAAAATTTAAGTTCACATGTCCAGTGAAAGTGTTGAAAAGTTGCTGGTTAAGTCCAATGCTGAACCTGCCGTAGTATTTTAACCAAAGTGTACAGAATAGGTTGTTTGAGTCCAGACGATATACATGCAGTGATTTCCTAAACCAGGTGAGTTAGAGTGACAGGAAAACTGGAAGTAGGGACCATGGTGTAGCCAGAAGTTCAGGCTGTTGTCAGCAGACCCAATAATGGTGATTGAGATTGTGATGCCGGAAGTAGGGACACATGGAAGCCAGAAGTAGTAAAGGCTTGGAATGCTGGGAGATGTGTGTCCATGGTAGCCAGAAGTAGTAAAGGCTCGGAATGCTAGGATATGTGCGTCCATGGTAGCCAGAAGTAGTAAAGGCTCGGAATGCTAGGATATGTGCGTCCATGGTAGCCAGAGGTAGTAAAGGCTCGGAATGCTAGGATATGTGCGTCCATGGTAGCCAGAGGTAGTAAAGGCTCGGAATGCTAGGAGATGTGCGTCCATGGTAGCCAGAAGTAGTAAAGGCTCGGAATGCTAGGAGATGTGTGTCCATGGTAGCCGGAAGTAGTAAAAGCCAAGAATGCCAGAAGTAAGAAAGGATAGGAAAACCCAACTAGTGTTCAGTTGGCAGACAAAAATAAATGAGAACGTAACTCAATACAAAAACTGTCCAAGCACTCTGGTCACTATAGTCAGGGGCCCGAGTTTCTCAATCTCCTTGAGTTCAGTGAGAAGTTGCCACGTTATATGGAAAGGGAGTGTAAACATTAACTAGTCTTGCAAAGTACTAAAAATCTCAAGAAAAAATTAGAGGTGTTATGAAATATAAAAATGTTCACAAAGTGTATTCTAACTAGGTTCATAACACTGAAAGAACTAAGTCATTAGGCTTATGAAACTAAAGAACTTAAATTGAAGGATGTGTGGCAATGCAATGAAGAAAGTCAGTCATGAAGACATAGCATCAGCCCTTGGTCATGTGGATGTCTTCTGCAGCAAGGGTTGTGAGTGTTTCTTTGAGCTGGCTTTGAAAGTAGCGGCCACTGAAAAGGAAAAGCAAATAAAGAAACGGAATAGGCTGCAGTCAGCATTTTTTTATGAGTTCTGGGACTTCCTGTTGTTCCCTGCTGGTTACTTCCATTGCTGCTACTGCTGAATTGAGCAAAGTAAGGAAGCCTCCACATGCCACTATAGCCAACAAGCAAGATATTTATTATAAGTAGTTGAGCTCAAGTCATCTTTGTTGAAATGAACACAAAGTAAAGGTTGTGCTTACTTCATGGGTGGAGCTGCAAAAAAACATCTGAATGTTATGCATTGATCACTAGAAAAAGAGTTTGTCCTTTCCGCAAGTGAGGTTTTTAAATTTTACAGATGATTTTTGAAAGAATTTGTTTACTTATATCTTTTAATGGTACACCATTTCTTGAGCATTTCAGTTTTCTTGCAATTTTGACTTGCTATAAACCTTCTTTGAACAATGTAATGATTTCAGCCTTTTTAGTTTCAGGAATGTTTTTCTTCAGAGACATTTTCAACAAAGAAGCAGCACTTATAAATTAATACTAAACTTGTTACTATAAATGATTTAAAATGTTTGCTTTCTAACAACAAGGTCAGGATTCAAATCTTATAGTTGATTTGTTAGGGTGGTTACTACTTGATGTTATTGGCCTGTGATGGTCATTTTAACATGTACTGACTTGGAAAAGTGTCTGAAAACCATGGCACAGGTTGACCTAATCCTTATGGGTGATACTGGGTAAGCAGAACTATTTGGAAATCATCAATGGTTGTGGTAGCATGAAGTTATAAGTCATTGTGGCTGAGGGTTTCATCATACTGGCTTTGTTCAAACTGTTCATGTTAGATTCTGCTTTCTTAGAAACTGTAAAGTTCACTCACTTAAGTTTCAGTATAAACCACAGGTGAGCTCTGTGTGTGTTGAATAAACACATGCCTGAGCAGATGTCTGCAACAAGGATTTCTTAGTTGCCCTAGCAGTGAGGTATGCTTGGAAACTAGTAACCAGCCATTTTAATTCTAATCACTTCACCCTAAACAAGGCAATAAAGCCACTAAGACACAAAAGGTTACTGAGTGAAAGAATGAAAAATAAAAAAACATTAACAAAGAACAATAAAAGAACAGGAATTAAGACAGAAGATAATGCTTGACATTGCATTTAAATTCTTGAAGAATAAAGTTGACTGGAAAGCAAGAAGGGAGTTCCATAAGCAAGCAGTGCAAGAGAAGAAACTGTTAGCATAGAACCTACGGTTCATTTAGCAATTTAAACTCTAAAAGAATGTGACATAGCTACCAACGAGGAAAGTTCATAGAAAAGCACAAAGAAGCTATCTTACAGTGGTAGGAAAGTGACTGAAACAGATGCCAGATCATGACCAATAACTTTGCAGACTGTTCTTTGTATTTTATCAAGAATCTCTGAATACATAGCAGAAGCACCAGACCAGATGTGGCAGAAATATTCAAAGCCTGGATGAATGGTAGACTTATAAATATAAAAGATAGATTCTGGTAAGAATAGTTGTCTAGCATGGTATGGTTATCCAACTTTCCTAGCTAGAGGCCTTGCAATTGATTTATTTTTTTAGTAGCCATTTGATATTTTAGTAATCTATTGTAACCATTCAGCAGTTATATGAATAAGTGAATTGTACAAAACCTTTCCAAATAATACTAAGAAAAACTTTTTTCTCAGGTTTTATTGACAGGATACCAGCAGCCCAGTGTTTAAATATTGACCAAGCAACTTGTGAGGAGGCAAAAGATTATACAAAACGTAAATACGTCTTCCGTTTACGGCTCAAAGATGGTGCTGAATTTTTATTTGTGGCACAAAATTCAGCTGAAATGAAAGAATGGCAAGAAAAATTACAATATTGGGCAGGTAAGTTTGCTTGTGTTCCTTTTTTTTCTTGTTTTTTCCATGTTTCTTTGCAGATGTTAAAATAAACAATTTAAATTTTTTTTTTTTTTTTTTTTTTTTTAGATTGATTTATTTATTTATTTATTTTTTTTTAAATACTTTTGTCAGGTTCATTTGCCAATCCAATACTATATTTTATTATAATACTCATGTATTCATTTCAACCAATTTCCATGTTTTTTTTGTTTTTTTTGCCTTTATACCAATCTTTTGTATACTCTCACCATCTTCATGTGTCTTTGACATTTAGTAACTCTCTGGGGAATTCTCTTGATTTCAGATGAAAACTTAGTTTTCCAACGTTTCAGTAAAAATTTTTATTTTCCAAATTTATGATAATGTCATGTGAAGGGAATGTCCGTTTAAAATGACAGGAAGTTAAATAATATATTAGAAATTCACTCTGAGTGGTCTAAATTGCAATGGAAAATTTGAAGGGAATTTTTTTTTTGTTGTGGTGGCTGAATAACTAAATAATATAATTATGAATTTATATAAAATTTGAGGTTTTAATAGTTTAAAATGAGTCCATTGGTTGATTTTTTTTTTTTTTGATTTTTTTTGATTTTTTTGATTTTTTTTTTTTTTTTTCATATTATGGAATATCCTGGCATTAGCTTGAATATTTTTATTAAATCGGAATTTTACTTAAAAAATTTGTACAGGATTTATTTCGAGTAAAATATAAAAATTTATTCATTACTAAATCTAAAGTACAAAAACGGTACAAATACAAAAATTTTCTTAAGGCAAGGTAACAAATTTCAGATAAAAAGGATTACCATTAAAAAAAAAAAAATGAAAAAATTCAGTTTGGGAAATGACAAGAATTTTGAAAGACAAAAAGAGTAAAAGAAGGCAAAAAAACAGAAACAACCACCTTTTTTTTTTTTTTTTTTTTTCTTTAAATGAAAACACTTGCTTACCCCATGTACATCTCTGGGACATAGTAATTTTAGAAAAGTCCCTTTTAAATTCACACTGTTTTTGCTTGAGAAAATTTCTTAGAATTCTTTTTTTGTGCAACCACAGGAGAATTTTCACTTGAACTTCAGTATTCTATAGTCTCTCTGCCACTGACTGGTAACTGGTACCTTCTTGATGTCAAAAGCTTTCTGCCCCTTAATGTTGATTTACCTTATCCTCTTGCTGTCTTCTCTTCATCCACTGACCTGAAATCTTATTCAGAAATTTAGGTTCATAGAAGGCTCCACCCAAGTTTTCACAAGGGGATAAGACAATGGCCCTCATTGGCCACAAAATACGGAAAAACAATTTTCCATAAACTTGAAATGGATTCCTCACAGTTTTGGTGTATTTCAACATCCGAGCCCAAAAAAAATATACAAGTGTAACAATTAAAAAAAACCTTCATAAAAATACACTTTTCTCAAAAGAACATGTATTAAAAAGCAACCTAGATGATTAAACATCTAAAAAAATTTTTTATAGAAAACATGTACCATGTGATTAACATTTTTTTAATTCAATTAGCCCTTAAAAGATGGGCATTGTCAATCTCTCATATTGGAGATTGGCAGATATCATCAGATGAGGATTTAGTCTTTTTTTCCAACATGAATATCATTCATGATTCGAAGCTAAGTGATGATTTGGCAACTCTAGGATTCACAAGACTACTACTTACTAGGATTTATGAGGTTACTTCATTTCCTGGAGTATTTGCCTGCAAATAAAGCTGGAAGGGGCAAACTAAGGACAATGCTATATCTACCTGCATACTTATATGGATAGAAATGAAGTGTAAAATGATAAGTTGGTGCAAAGCAGGAACAACTCCATTGTGGACAGAATGCTTTAAAGAGTATCCTACTGTTAAAAAATTAAATTTAGGACCAAAACCATTTGTCTTTATTTCCATTTCCATTTTATTTTTATAACGTAAGATTTAAAATAACATTTAAATAGAATCTTTAATGTGAGAATGAACATAAAAACATTTTTTAATTTTTTATTAGTATATGCATTTGTTAAAACTTTTTTTTTTTTTTACCACTGTTTAAGGGTTAAACATTTTTCTATCTCTAATATTCATGAAAGTTCAGAATTTTCTAAAAGAAAAAAAATTGTAAAATATAATCTAAATTAGTCCTCCAAGGAAGGTTTTTAGTCTATTAGTATCAATTGCAAGTTGGATTTAAATTAATCCTCAAAAATAGGATTAGAGAAGTTTTTTCATGCAATGTCAAATTATAATCTAATTTAATTTTTTTTATTTCAGTTTTTTCTTTTCTTATTTTTAGTTTTCTTTTTAATGTTAGTTTTTTCTTTTGTTTACTAAAGCAATAGAAATAGTAATATTTAAAACAAATAGAAAAATCATATCTCTGGTAGTGGGTGCTACAAAAATAAGAGCAAGAAAAAAAATTAAAACAAAATGAAATGAGCTAACTGGTTTTATTTTCAATAAAAATGTTTTTACACTATTTACATTATTCGGACTATTGTCTTCATCTTTGTTGCCATATTTATCACAACGTTTCAGCCGTTGTACACTCCGGCCTTCTTCAGTTGGTTGGAATGTCGAACTGAGCCCTTTATTTCACTCACTAGGGTAGACTCTTCTAGTTCCATATGCCATGTCTAACGGATGTCGGTTATCAGTTATTTCTTGTTAATTCACCTCTCCAAGTTCTCAACTGCCTTAACCAGGTATTGAACTCACAACTCTTTGGGTCCTGTCACTGGATCTAACCAACACCTTCATCCACTGTGCCATGTGAGCCTTAAGTGGAGAACTTGAAGAGATGAATTAACAGGAGACTGCTAATAACTGACATCCATTAGATATGGAACTAGAATAGTCTACCCTAGAGAGCGAAATAAAGGGTTCAGTTTGACATCAGGTGGTTGGAATGTTGAAATGAACCCTTTATTTTGCTGAAGAAGGCTGGAGTGTACAACGGCCAAAATGTTGTGATAAATATGGCAACAAAGATGAGGGCAAGGGTTTGAATAATGTAAATAGTGTACATAATACCTCATCTCGGAAATATAGACAAACGTTTTTGATTATTTTTTCTCTTTATTATTTTTATTTATTTTTTTTTTTTTTTTTTTTTTTTTTTTTTTTTTTACCAATTTTTTATTAAAGTTATAAAAATAGACATAATTAAAACCACTACAGTAGTTGGTTCTAAAAAAAAAATAACAAGAAAATAAAATTATCACTTTCCACTCAACAGAGCTCAATTGGAAGAAAGTAAAATTATGAATGCTGATTAAAATGGAAACCTGAAAAAGAAAATACCTGTTTCAATAATATATTGAGAAAGGTAAATTTTTATAAACTGATCACATTCAGTCCTAGCAACCAATCCATCTGTTTGTATAAGGAAAGGTGTTCTGATTTAATGAAAAGTTTCAAGAACTTTTAGATGGTAGTTAAAATGTGATCTGCACAAAAAACAGAACATGTCATCCTGGAAAGATGATGTACTCTCAGTTTTTTGTGTGTTCAGTGATTTTCAGATGTGATGACACAGTTATGCAAATTATCTACTATCAACCCTTTTTAATAGATATGACATTTTATTTTTTATCCATGGTGATCTTGTGTTTACTCAATTGGTAGCCATCTTGAGTCACAATTTTTTTTTGTTATCTATGTGCCATCTACATTATAAACTTATGCAAGATGAATTCCTCTTTTCGTTATTAGATTAGAATTGTAATAAAACCAAAACCTATAAAAGTGAATTTATGAATTTTCTATAATTACTCGGTGACAGCAATCTGAATTTTTTTCTCTAAATTCATTATGAATTTCAAATCATAGATCTATACAAGATGATTTTCAAAAATTAGGAAGTGAACTCTTATTTTTGTTTGTTTTTTTTGTTTTTTTTTTTTAAGGCCAGGATATATTAAACCCTGCATCTTCAAACAAAATGAAGCCATTTCTTCTGTATTCATAAATATGTTGAGATAATAAGAGTCAAAATGATTTTGCTGATTACTGACTAGTTACAAGTTAAAATTAACCAAATTGAAATTGTAGACAGGTGGCTCATTTCTTTATTACTTGTACTTTAACTTCTGCTTATGGTGCCTGTAATGCTTTAAGTATTCTTGTATTGTCCTGTAACAACTTATTCAGAATTCAATGATAAAGACTAAAGCTAAACATCAAAGTTGAAATATAGTTGGCATTAGCAATATTTTTATATTGGTTTGCCCACTCCCGTATCGATATTGGCTCTCCCTCACGTGACGTTGATATTGTTTGCCCACCCAAATATCAAATATATTAGTTCTTTTTTTTAATCTTTATAATCAAAATAATTTTATCATTATTGAATGAACTTGTATCTTTAATCCTTGAATTCCTGTTTACAGCAGAAAGCATGCATGGAGTGGATCTGGATTTAGATTTAGACATGGATATTGGGGATGACTGGGAGTCTCCCCTTCAGTTGACAACCTCATCACCGCCACCACAATCACCCAAATCACTAGGAGGTGAACACCTTTCACCACAATTCACTGGTTTTTTGGGGGCTTTATATATTTTTTCTGGCTTGGGTCACTGCAGATTTACCTTTTTTTTTTTTTTTTTTTTTTTTTTTTTTTCTTCCACCCACAACACCATTATCTTTTGCTCTATTTTGGGGATTGCCTGCTGGTAAATTGCTTTGTTTACTTTTTCTTTTGCCTTTTTTTTTATCTTATTGTTTACTTTGGCTTTCTTTCAGAAAATAGCTTCTTGGGATTGAAACTTTTTCTTTTCCCTTTTTCTTTTCTTTTTTTATTTTTTGGTTGACTTTCTCTTTGCCTGTTAGAACTTGTTCAGCAAACTTGGATCTTTGTGCCAAAGAGTGGGTTTTTCCCTTGACACCACTGTTATTTTAACTACTTTCACTCCTTGACAATGTTTGTTTTTAAAAAGATCATTAGAATTGTAAAAAACAAACATATGAAAATGAATTTATACATTGTCTTTTGTTTTTGAGAATTGACAGAATAAAATAATAAACACTATTTGATTGTTTATTGAAATGGTTTGCAAAATGTTGGATAATTGCCAATTGATTCAAACTTTATAAAATGGTAAATAAGAATTTCTTTATAGTTGGTTTGCATATTTTAATTTAATAAATGTTTATAAATTTATGATTTTAAAACAAATTTTCATTTTTCTTTATAAATCAGTAAAAAAATATTGCATTGCATTAGACTTAATTAATTTTTAGAATGTTGTAAATATAAAATTACTCTTGTAAATAATTGAAAATTGTTTATTTTTGTTATAAATTCTCAAGAACAAAAGAAAAATGTATAAAATCACTTTCATGTGTTTAGGTTTTATTCTAATCTTTGCTTTTTAAAATGAACATTGACAAGGATAGGAGGTAGTTAAAATAGTGATATCAATGGAAAAACTGTCATTTTTGACACTTTTCTTTTTTTTTCTTTTACAAGCATGAAGGTCCAAGTTTGCCACTTGTTCTGTATCAAATTTACTCATAAAACTGTATCCTACTTCCATATGAAATGACAAGTAATTAAACCTAAATTCTGTGAATCAGAATCTGTTCCATCCAATTGTATGCGACATTCCAAAAATATTTCTAATTAGAATAACCCATTTTTTACATGTGGACCATTGCCCTCATCTTTGTTTCTCTTGTAATCCTCTGCCTTCAGCAAGTGCTTGTCAATCTGGGTAACTATCAGGGAATTTTCAAACTGAACCCTTTATTTAATCTATGATTGTCATCATTCTGCTGACCATGTCTTGATTAAATAAAGACTTTAGTTTGAAATTCCCTGATGGTTACTTGGATTGACATGTATCATATAAAGGATGGAGGGTAAAACAGCTGAAATGATGAAATAACAAAGATGAGGACATTAGTCTGTATGTAAAGAATGAACTCCTCATCCCAGAAATTCATACAGAAAAAAAAAACCTTTATTTTAGAGGTAATAAATGTATAAGCCAGTTCTGTTGCATGATAATACCAGACTTTATGAATCCTGAGAAAGTTGAGAAAATCCTCCATATTCCGTTAGATCCTGTCATATTTCAAGTCTTTGGTGCTGTTCATCAAAGAAAAAATTTGACAATCAAAGGACTATTAAGACTTGAGATTTTCTCAAGTCTGGTTAATTCTATTCAGAAAATTTGATAAAATCAACTGAAGATTTTTACATTTGATTCACTTTTAAAAAATCAATTTAAAATTGGTAGTTTTCTTTTAAAACTTAAACATTGTTTAATTTTATATTACTGTAAATTAAACGATGTCATCAAAATTTGCATTTTCCTTGGGAAAATGTTTTGTTCTTTTTTTTTTTTAATTCACTAAATTGTTCTGGAGGTATGGTGTAGCAATGGATAGCAGCTGAAATTGAAGAATCTGAGAACAGTTTGAATTCCAGTTGAGCTCATTGCATTCACTTACATGCTAATATCCTTGGGAAAGGTATGAATTCATCTTTTCCCTCCAGCTATGGGTAAAATAGCAGGGCAGACTGGGCCCTACAGCCTTGGTTGGCTACCACTCTATGAGAAGGGAAAACTCTGAATTTAAACTACATGCTGCCTTGTAGGTCTACCTCTCTAACTTCTGTGAGGAGGGATGGGGTAACCTTAACATCTCTAGTGCAAAAGGAACCAAAAAGCCATTGCACTATTCTGCCTTGAATGTTACCATGAATGACAATTGTAAGATGGAGGGGAGTGTTAACCACAATGGCACAAAAATGTGCTAACTGAATAAATGATGATGGTGAAATTGTTCTACAGATTAACCATAAGATTAATTAATTAATTTCTCATAGACGTAGATTAGGGTCTTATAACAGAAAACAAAATCTGCTGTCATCATTTTTATATTAATGCCTTTTGAGAAAGGCATAAAATTAACCTTCTCTTTGTTCTAGTCTATCATTAAATTTATGCTTCAGTGTAGCACAAGATAGGTATGAATAAGTACCTGGGCAGTGTATTCTATCTCGGGTGTGTATCTCGGGTGTGTATCTCGGGTGTGTATCTCGGTGTGTATCTCGGTGTGTATCTCGGGTGTATCTCGGTGTGTATCTCCGGTGTGTATCTCGGTGTGTATCTCGGTGTGTATCTCGGTGTGTATCTCGGTGTGTATCTCGGTGTGTATCTGGGTGTGTATCTCGGTGTGTATCTCGGTGTGTATCTCGGTGTGTATCTCTCGGTGTGTATCTCGGTGTGTATCTCGGTGTGTATCTGGGTGTGTATCTCGGGTGTGTATCTCGGGTGTGTATCTCGGGTGTGTATCTCGGGTGTGTATCTCGGGTGTGTATCTCGGTGTGTATCTCGGTGTGTATCTCGGTGTGTATCTCGGTGTGTATCTCGGTGTGTATCTCGGTGTGTATCTGGGTGTATCTCGGTGTGTATCTCGGTGTGTATCTCGGGTGTGTATCTCGGTGTGTATCTCGGTGTGTATCTCGGTGTGTATCTCGGTGTGTATCTCGGTGTGTATCTCGGTGTGTATCTCGGTGTGTATCTCGGGTGTATCTCGGGTGTATCCGGGTGTGTATCTCGGGTGTGTATCTCGGTGTGTATCTCGGTGTGTATCTGGGGTGTGTATCCGGTGTGTATCTCGGTGTGTATCTCGGTGTGTATCTCGGTGTGTATCTCGGGTGTGTATCTCGGGTGTGTATCTCGGGTGTGTATCTCGGGTGTGTATCTCGGGTGTGTATCTCGGGTGTGTATCTCGGGTGTGTATCTCGGGTGTGTATCTCGGGTGTGTATCTCGGGTGTGTATCTCGGGTGTATCTCGGGTGTGTATCTAGGGGTGTGTATCTCGGTGTGTATCTCGGGTGTATCTGGTGTGTATCTCGGGTGTGTATCTCGGTGTGTATCTCGGTGTGTATCTCGGTGTGTATCTCGGTGTGTATCTCGGTGTGTATCTCGGTGTGTATCTCGGTGTGTATCTCGGTGTGTATCGGTGTGTATCTCGGTGTGTATCTCGGGTGTGTATCTCGGTGTGTATCCGGTGTGTATCTCGGGTGTATCTCGGTGTGTATCTCGGTGTGTATCTCGGGTGTATCTCGGTGTGTATCTCGGTGTGTATCTCGGTGTGTATCTCGGTGTGTATCTCGGGTGTGTATCTCGGGTGTGTATCTCGGGTGTGTATCTCGGGTGTGTATCTCGGGTGTGTATCTCGGGTGTGTATCTCATTAGTTATAGCTGCTTCATTTCTCTTGGATTTATTGGCTATTATATAAATCTGACTAAATGATGGAAATGTTCAGTTATCATTTTTTTTAAGCAATATTAAATAACAGGAATAGACACTTTGCATAATTTAAAGATTTATAGGACAATATGGATGTGTTGGTGGTGTCATGGAAAAATTGGCAAACTGAGTTTGCATTCTGGTTGAGTTCATTACGTTGACTTTCATCTTTGGGAAAGATATAAATCCAACTCTAACCCCAACTTTGGGTTAAATAGAACAAAGTGGGTTTTGCAACCTTGGTTGGAAACCATTTCAGAAGAAGGAAAATCTCTAAATTTCCAAACCTGGGTCTATGGAACAGTGTGGAAATACAGTCGTTTAAAGGAAAGGAAACCCTGACAGAAAACCTCCCCTCCCCCAGATTAGTGAGGTTGGCTGTGAGGCCAGTCATCTTATTGCATAGAACAACTCTATTTACACTGTTTGGACAATCGTCCGAATCTTTGTTGCCAAATTTATCACAATGTTTCGGCCATTGTATGCTCCAGCCTTCTTCAGGTGGTTGGAATGTTGAACTGAACCCTTTATTTTGCTTGCTGGGGTAGAGTGTTCTAGTTCCACATGCCATGTCTAATGGATGTCAGTTATCTCCTGTTAATTCACCTCTCCAAGTTCTCCACCACCTTAACCAGGTATTGAACTCACACTCTTTGGGTCCTGTCACTCGATCTAACTAACGGCTTTATCCACTGCCATGTGTCCTTGAGACAGATACTGCATAGAACAAGTTGATTAAAGAAACCTCACTAGAGGACTTATGTTATTAGGCACCAGACAGATAATAATATTTGGGAAACAATGTCTAAAAGTAAAGACAGTTTTGTCCTGGGTTTAAATACTATTTCTTGACAACGTGAATGAAATTTATTTCTATTTTGTTTGAAATTCAGTTTTTCATCTGCCTTCTTGGTTATGGAATGTGTATACTGTGTTTCAAAAATATAATTATTTGAGAAGGAATGCAATGAGAAGTTAGTCTATTAGGGGCTTGCAGCAGAAAAACTCGGACATTGGGCTCACTGCATAAAAACCCAGACATTTGGCTCAGGATTAATGTCAAGTGAAAATTTTATATTAAAAATTCTGATTTTTATCAAAAAAAAAAATGGTGGGGTTTAAATGTCAGTTTAAAGCCATTCAAGAGAATAAATTAAAAATATCAAATTGTTAAAATGGGATATTTTACAATATTTACTTGCTTAGTATCTTCTGATTTCTATTTAATCAGATCTTTGTTATACTTTAAAATCAAGAACACCTGAATTTTTATCAAAGATTAGATTCTTTCATCAGTGGAAAAAATATCCTTAGTGACATGTTGGGTGAAAAGAACAGGATTTTCACAAATATTATTTGCAGGAATATCTACAATGAAATCAGTACTGCAAAATATTGTAATTGGCCTGTTTATAAAGAATATATCAACAATAATTCTACTCTTTAGACTTAATTAATTTGAATCATTCTTCACTAGAAATGTATCATATATAGGCTTATTTTAGTAATTACTTTAATGGTAAACTTGTCATTGTTAATAGGTTTATGAAGGAATATGTTGGGTGGTGATGGATATTGGTACAGGAAATGGAATCAACAGATTTCAAATTCTGTTCTAGTTTGTTTCACTCACTTTTGTACAAATGTCTTTGGGAAAGGCATGAATTATTCTTTTAGCCCCTCCTCCACTACCAAACTGTGTGTTAAATAGCAAGATAGACTGGGCTCTAGCTTTGTGTGGCAACCAGTCTAAGAGAAGGAAAACTGTGAATTCCAAACCATGGAGAGGGCAACGGAAATCTTCTTCACTATCTTTCCCAAGAATGTATGGCAATTTGCAGATAATAAAGAAAAGGAATCTTTGGAGAATCATGATTACCTACATCTTGAAGAAACATTGGAAATCATGGCTCCCCACAGTTTCCTGTACTTTTAGCTCTTTATAAATCTTGTCTTTTTGTTATTGTTCCTACACCTTGTTCCACCCTCCATTTATTCAAGCTTGCTAGGTAGGTTATATATTGTTTTTCTATGTCCCTCTTGCCTTCAATCTGTCCTGTGAGTATCAAATTTTCCAAGCCCTCTAATTATGTGCCCTAAAAATTTCAAATGTCTCTATCTGATGTTAAGTATAAGTGTCCATTTTGATTCATTTAAAAAAGAAAAAAAAGAAAGTTGGTAAAAATGAATTCAAATTGTTACATTTCAATAATTATTTATTGTCTTATTTATTTGTCTCACTCTGTTCCTATATGTCTGTCCATTTACCTAATCAGCATAAAATATAGATATATAATACCTCCTGGCACTTAATTATTACATTGATGTACATTTTAGTCTGGTTGATTGGAAAGGATGACAGTTAACTTTATTTCAATGCTTCAAATGTCTACAATAATTCTGCTGGTACTTTTTTCTGTCTTGCAATACATGTGCACCTTGTTTTTATTTCATTTTCTTAATGTCTTCTTGTGTTCATTTGCTACCATCTTTTTGCTTCTTTTTATTCTCATTGCCACTCTTGTCTTTCAGCCAATTCACTCTCTTCACGTTTCAAATACACTTCTTTGATTTCCTTAATATTATGCAGGCTTACAGCCATGTCACATTGAAACACTTGTTCTTGCATGGGTACCAAAGTTGAGCAATGTTGATCTGGGTCAGTATCTAGATAGGTGACCACTTCAGAACACCAAGTGCTGTAAGCTTGGATGTGCATGTGGTGTAATTGATAATGGGCTGGAATTGGAAATCAGTTCTAATTCCATTTGGATTCATATTAACTTATGTGCAAATGCCCCTGGGAAAGGTATGAATCCACCACTTCTCCCCCAGCTATGGATTAATTAGTAAGACTTGTATCATTAAAAATCATAAAAAAAAATTCTTACAATCTACAAATGTTTTCTAGCCTTAAATAACCTGCAAATGGTTAAGCTGTATAAAATTAATGAATCAATTACATGCAAATTATCTTGGGAAATGTATGAATCCGCCTCTTCTTCCTCCAACTATGGGTTAATTAGTATGACTTAATCATTGTTATTTCCAGGAAGCTCTTGCCATCTAAAAATATTTTTGGCTTTGAACAATCTGTAAAAGGTTGATAAGCTTTAAAAAACAAATCAATCAATTAAACTAACATTATGAAAAAGATTGTACTGGAAATTTTTACATCAGCAATACAAAAACTGAAAATGATAAAAAATATCTCAATGAAAAAACAACTTTTAAGTTATTAAAGATCAACTTTTAATTTCTTGTAGATTTTAAATATATAAATAATGAGGGAATATTTTATACTAATAAATGGCATGAGAAAAATTCCCAATTTATAGTTCAGAGAACCAGTTCCTTGTTTACTTGATCCTAACAAGAAAATGTTAATGATTTTCAATTTCTGTAAGCAATCCCAGTTGTTTGTGTGATATTATTTTTGTCCCACTCCTAAAACCCTGTTTGTCAAGCCTGGTCAGTATGTAGATGGTGACCACTTGGAAATATCAGGTGCTTGGATGTGCAGGTGGTGTAATGCCCCAGAATTGTTAATCAAAGAGCAGAGTTCCAATTCCAATTGGGTTTTTTATAGTCACTTATATGCAAAAACCCCTTGGAAAAGGTATGATTCCACCTTTTCTCTCATCCATCTATGGGTTAATTTGTAAGACTTACATCACTAAAAACATTATCACCAAAAAATTCTTAGTCTAAAAATATTTCTTGGCTTTAAATAACCTGCAAAAGGTTCATAAGCCATAAAAAAATGAATCCTCCAATAAAATCCCGTTCATCAGGGTTGATTCACTGTTAAATAAAATCTAACAAACTAACCTAAAACCTGATCAAAATGTCATATTCAAAGAATAGTACACATTGAACGCTTCATGAAATAAAAAAAAAAAAAAAAATGTTTATGCAAATGTTGAATTTAATTCAAAAATCCATTTGCATCTGAATTGAAATTCTCAAGCATTGTTTGTAAACTCTTTAAACATCGATAGTAATTCTTGATTTGAAAATGTTATATTTTCTTTTGTTCTTTCCTTGATCACTCATTTGTGAAATTTGCACCATTTTTAACAAGATAAATTTTCTTCTTTTTTTTTTTTTTTTTTGTGTGGTGATGGACTGCTCAGTTGAGACTGAAAAGCCAATGAGATAAAATTATTCAAAATCATAATGATGTACTAACCATATTTTGTAACTTTAAAATCATTTAATCTGTAATTTTATTTAAAATACATTTTTTTTTTTCAAAGTACTCATAATTTCTAATAAATGTTCATACATTTTAAATAAGTTACAAGTTTGAAATTTTCAAATACCATTTCTTGACATTTAAATTTGTAATATTTATTTGAAAATTATCTCAATTTATTTTAAAATTATTTCAATTTAAATTTGCTACTTTGGGTTTGATTTCTATTTGAGGCATTTTTAATTTTAAAGGAACTTTAATTCTTGTATTTAGAATGTGATGAAAAGAATGAATTTAATTCTACAAGAAACAGAAAGGGGGTGAGAAGATGACCCAGAAATATTGTCCACTATAATTTAGACATGTCACATGCATGTGATTAAACTCATAACATTTCTAAAAATGCCAAATTTAATTTTTTTTTTTTTTTTTTTTTTTTTTTTTAAATGATAGCATAAAAGTTCTTGTGTTTATTCATTCTCATTTCTATTTCTTTTATCAATAGATGACAAACTTTGTTACTATCAGACATTAATCACTCTGTTGTCTGTACCAAATGTACATCCATAATCAGTTATCATGGTAAATATTATCTCTTACTGACACTGACACCAAATACTAAGTGAGATGTAATGTTTTGTGGGTGCTTTTTATTCTTTCAATATTTTCACAGATTTCCAGTCACCAGATTAGGTTGTCCAGTATCTTGTGTACTCATTGGGATGTAATTTTTTTATGCATTCTTCTACACATTTCAGCTAGGCATGGTTTTCTTTTGACTGGCAACTTCCTCAAAAGGTAAAAAGATAAGTAGAAAATAAAAGCTGATATAAAAGTTGCTAACAATTTAATACTTTCAAAAGCTCTCAGTTGCCTTCTTTCGACTAGGATCTTGAGGTATCAAGAAAGGGTTAACTACAAGGTTACATGTCTGTTTCTGTGTGTTGGAATTTCTTTCAATTTGTGAAGAGAAGATAGATAACACTTTCTTGTAGCAAAAAAATTATGCAAATTCTGGTGTGTGATATCCTGATGTGACTCTCTGAAGCCAATGCAAGAACTCTGGGAAAATCCCTATGAGAAATAACTAAGCACCCACACCTTAAATAAGTAGACCGTTAAATGTAATAGGTATTCATAAAATAATGTATGGATTAGTAGGATATATAATATTTTAAAGTCTTATCTCCTGACTCCGTTTCACAGAACTTGCTCCACTCACCAAGGAAAAGATGTATCAATTGAATTTACTAATAGACCTATCTAGTTTGAAATATTAGATGTAAATGTTATTAAGTTGCGCGCGTGTGTGTGTGTGTATATATATATATATATATATATATATATATACACACACACACACACACACACACACACGCACACACAGATTAATAAATTTGTCCCCTTTATTGATAAACTAGTGTTGCTTGGTAACTCATTTTATCGAAATAAAAAATAAAAAAAAACGCTTTGTCGAGGTTAACATCGCTAAGGGAAGTGACTACTGATAAATTTACTATCAAAAGTTGATTTACCTCCCTTGCCACTATATATTTATGTGCGAATAAAATATAATTTAGTGGTATCTTCATCCTTATTTTTACCTTTTCATGACTTTCAAGATTGACCTAGGTCAACTTTACATAGCCCATCTACATGTCAAGTTTGGTTGATATCCTTCCAGTAGTTTCTGAGTGTATAGCAGACAAACATTTTATTTATATTGAAGAAATCTGATTAAGAATGAATAAACACAAATTATCCCATGAAGAAAGAAAAAATGTGAACATTTAGAGAAACAAATTCTCTCTTTTTTTTGCACATGGGGTGAAGGAAATACGTTTCTTTGACATTTTTTTCCTCTATATTTAAGTTATTTGTTTATAATATAAATTTTTCTTTTTTTTCTTAATTATAATATTTAATCGGATAATTTGTTGCCTCCATTTTCCTGGAACTTTTGTACTATATTTTTTTTTTTTTCTGAAATTCCAGATGATTTTTATTAACAAAAGTTCTATTTTTGTTGCTAGCTCTGGACACAGCTGAACCTGAGAAAACAAAAACATTTGTTGGGCATCACCAAATTTCTGAACCATTACCCGAAGATGGTTCCCTCCAGCTGCCCTCTCACGAAGAACCCCACCCTGCACTGCCAAACAGCCAGACCTTACCTCCTCAGCTTCACTCCTCACCCCAACAGCAACAACCTAACCCTGTTGAAAATGATTACAGATTCCCAAGGGTGGGCAGAACCACCCAAATTCACCCAGAAGCACAAATTGGTAGGTAGAACCATCTAGTAACTTGTACACCTTAGTATTTAACATTCTTGCTTTATATTTTAGAATTGTGATATTTTAGCCAGAATATTGTTTATAACTTTGAAGATAGAATTCAAAGATTGGTTGGGAGAATTGAACTCCTTTTTTTGAGTTACTGCAATGATGCATTAACCTTGTAGCAAATGCTAGAGACTCTGCATCTTTTTTTAGGGTCTAACATTAAGTGCCTAGTGCAAGCAGCATCTTACAATGTTAATGTTTACATGTCAGGGAGTACTGCATCTTTAACTATTCAGCATTTCAGGTAATACTGAAGCCATTAAATCTACTCAAATATCTTATACTAGCAGGCTTCGTCCGCTCGCTATCGCTTCATTAAGTAAGATATATTGACTACTTGAAATCTTTGAAACAAAAATTTTAAATGCCCATTTCATTCATAAATTGGCTTGTTAAGGAAAGTTTTACAAATAGATGCCAACTTGTTGAAGGCCAAGTAAAATGCAAATTTCAAACACTTTTTCTGCACTATATAAGACAATATTCCTAAACAGAAATATTTTTTATATGAAAATTGAAACAATATTTGAATAAAAGAACAGTAATGAAGGACAGTTAAATTATGAAATATACTTTTTTTTTTTTTTTTTTTTAATCATTATGCAAATTAGTTAAACCTAAAGATTGATATTGCCTAGGAATAGATAATATATGATAGAGATATTGAGCTCTTAATATTGTCTATCGATAGAATACAGCAGCCACTTTTATTATTTTGATAGATGGACGTATCCTATTAACATTTTGTTTCGAATATGCGGTATTATTGTATATGCAGTGGTGATGGATGAGTTTGTGTGGTGAATGAGCAAATTGTAATGAATTCTGATTGACTAGGATAGCTACATTTCCCCTTTGTCCTCGTGCCACAATTTTGTATTTTTTATGAAATAATCTTAGTGTGCAAATTACTCTTGAATAGTGTGTAACACGTTATTTATCATCTCTCAGTTGCGTCTGTCTTTGGGCAGAGTGCACTTGGGCAGATCCATCGAAGTATAGTTGCAGCTGAGGAAAATCATACTGAGAGGTGCCCTGCCTGAGGCAGTGCACTCTCATTGCACCAGAGAGGATTGGAGCTTGCACCAAAGCCAGAGCAACCAACAGTTGCTGGGGCTTGGGCAATTTTTATTCCGAGCTCAGGTGTATGTGCTTGGGTCCCCACCTTAAAAACTGACCTTGTGTCACCCATCATCTTAGTGGGGAGACAGAGTAAATACCTAGTGTGCAGCTTTTTATCCCTAGAATTTGTGGGAGAATTGTGCTCCAATTTTGCATTTATTTGTATAGAAAGATCATTTGCCTCATGTTTTTTCTGGGCTTGTTGACAGGTGTTCAAATATTTACCTATTTTTATAAAGATTATCACTATACTAGTTAATAATTTGAGTTAATGTTTGTCTTTTTTAATTTGTGGTCCCTTTACAAAAATACTAATAAAAACTAGTCAAAAAACTTCTAAAAATATTGCTTAATCTCAGAAATTCCAATAACTTAAAAATATTGATTTCCTTTTTCAACATCAAATGCTTTTAATTAGACAGTCTCTTTCATACTTGAACACAATCTTCAGACCATGTGTGTTAACTCAACTATTTATATATGCTGATCAGTGCTTGTTTCCATTATCCTAACGGTTATTAGATAGACAGAAATGGTTATATTTTCAATTATTTTAAAGACTATTGAGTAGAAATAATTATGGACCTGAATGCAGTTATTTTATACTTGTATAGGGATGTTTAACATTTAACTTGTTATTGATTACTTAGAGTAATTTGTATTGATTATTATTACTAAATTTACTTAGTTGTGGTTATGCATGCATTAGTACAATTAATTTGGATATTATTTATTTACTTAATTTGTTTTAAACGAAAAGTATTAATAGATGTGATAATTTTAAGTTGTATGAATTTTATAGCTAAAGCATCATCTATTTAAATATAGCAAATTCTGTCTGTCCATCCGTCAATATGTCTGAAACCCCTCGAACTCAGGCCACACTTGCTCTGCATAGACATGTACCTTCTTGGAATCAGGATGATCCTGAGATTGAAAATCTACTCTTCATCTGGTGCTTGAACATCCAGCATTGGGATTTGTGTCTGGATGAGGAGGGAACAATTAAAAATTCAAATTTTAAAATAACTGAAAAAAAAAAAAAAAAAATAGTGATTTTTAAATAATTTATATTGAGTTTAAAGTAATACAAAACTTTTGAATTTAAAAATTTCTGTTTTTAAATTCAATTTAAAATATTTCCAAAAGTTTGAATTGAGGAAATCAATTTTATTTCTTGAAAATACCAAGGAATCGGTTAAAGTGAGAACTTTCATGATGTGAGGTTTTGAATTTCTGCAGAGTTTGTCATTTGAAGAATTCTACTCAATTGAAGTTCCACATAGTTTGTGATTTGAAGAACTCGGTTTTCAAACTGAATTGGACTTATAACCCAAATCAAAGTGAGGTTTTGAAGTTCCATGGAATGAATTGAAGAATTCAAAGTTATTTCTTCAAAATTATTATTGCTGTTTTCTAAGCTGGACAAGAGGTCTATTTAGTTTTGTGCCAGTGGTCCAATTGGCCCTCTGCAGGAGCTAGCTTAAAAGACTGCACAGAGTGTAGCTTTTAAGCTAGTTATTAATAATTTCAAACTAGTTGTTTTTTTTTTTTTGTTTTTTTTGTTTTTTTTTTCAATTGTAATAAAAATAATGAAAGGACACATGGCCCAGTGGATAAAGGTGTTGGTTAGATCCAATATGAGTTCAATACCAGGCTACAGCAGTACTGAACCAAAAACTTGGAGAGGAGTTAAAGTGAAATGACAGACATCCAGAATAGGCACGGCATTTAGAACTAGAACACTCTACCTTTGTGGATGAAATAAAGAGTTTGGTTTGAAATTCCAATAACCTGGAGAAGGCTGGAGCATACAACAGCTAAAATGTTATGAATATGGCAATGAAGATGAGGATAACAGTTCGAATAATGTATGAAAATAAAAACTTATTAAAAATTTCCAGACAATGCTTAATCTCGGGAATGAAGATAACTTAAAAATATTGATTTCCTTTTAATGTTCTTTGGGTATAGGATTTTCCTTCATTCCCAAAAGTCTGAAGGATGCATTTTTTTTTTTTTTTTTTTTTTTTTCGTTAATCATTTCACCCCAAGCAAGACAACAAAGCCACTAAGATGCAGGAGTTACTGAAGGTGAAAGAATACAAGAAAAAGGACATTAAAGAGCGAGAACAATAAAAGAGCAGGAAAACAGTTGCCGAGTTATTAATTATTGCTCTCTTGTCTTAGAGGTTTTTATGTAATTCTAGCGTAGTCAAGAGTTTGTTTTTGGTGCTACTAGTGAATATCCACTATCAGCTGAACATTCAATCTTTTGTACTACAATTTGTACAATTTCTCTGGTACCGTTCTTACAACATGGTAGCTGATTTTGGGTTGGAATTGTCAGCTTCTTTCACAGATAATCTGAATTTTTTTCACAGGAAAAGATGGATTCTCTGATCGTGACTCTTCTCCAGAATCCTTACATTCTTCCAGAAAACCTGAAGTCGTTAGGCACCAGAAACTGGAGGCAAATGGTTGGTACCATTTCTTTTTTGGGTGTGTGCGTGCATACACACACAATAGCTTTTTATGTAACTTGTGATATCACAGGTAGGATTTATTAAAAAATGTATTGAAACTATCATTTGCTCTAAGATATTTCTGAAAATAGTGAGAAAAAGATGAAAATAGGATTGGGTTGGTCAAAAAGTTTGTTTGGTAAATTTTTTGCAGCAAACATGGGTGAATGTGCTCACAATGAGACGACATCTAAAAAGGATGTTTTTTTTCCCATGACACCACTTTTTTAACAACCTTCAGCAATGTTTGTTTTAAAGCGATGATTGGAATTGTAATAAAACCTAAACCCATGAAAGTGAATTTATACATTTTCTTTGTTCTTGAGAATTGACAACAAAAATAAACACTATTTATAAGATAGCTTATTTACACGATTAAATTGTTTATTGGAATGGTCGGCAAAACATTTGATAGTAAATGATTTCCTTAAATTTGGTTCACATATTTTAATAATCTAGTAAATGTTTATAAATCCATGAATAAAAAATTTTCATATTTCTTTATAAATTGGTAAATGATAAATATTGTATTGCATTAGTCTTAATACAATTGTATTAGTTTATTTACAAGAATCTTATAAAACGCAGATTGTGTGTCTGTACGTTTATATATTGGATCGAATTTCCTACATTTTTCAACTGATTTCAACAAAACTTCACAGGACTATGTAAAATTACCTTGTGGTGGTTCTGACAGTGCCAAAAATTGGAAAAACAATTGTTTTTGCACAAAATCAATTTGAAAACATGATTAAGAGGCATTAATGAAAGGGGGACAACTCATATCGAGTTATACTTATTAATATCGAGTTATACTTATTATAAAACCCCAGATGGTTGTTTGTGTGTGTTCCTTTATATATGGGATCGGATTTCCTACATTTTTCAACCAATTTCAACAAAACTTCACTTTTTTTTGGCAGGTAGTGTTTCTTATTGTCTTGCACACTTTTTTTCTTTATTTTTACATTCAGAATGCTTTAAAAATTCCATTTACAAGACAATTGTTTATAATAAAATTCTATTCAATCGGTAGACTCATAACGATTGAAAACCATGTTTGAGTTTGGGTTTGACCAATTCGTAAAAAAAAAAAAAAAAAAATTAAGACATGCGTGTCTGTCAACCTTAAACAATAATCTTTGTCAATTTTATTTTTCAGTCTTTATGATGGTCGATACTTGATCTATCTCTTACTGTTACATCCCCGGGCAACGCTGGGCTCTACTGCTAGTAATTTTATATTTACAACATTCTAAAAACTATCTAATAAATAGTGTTTAATTTTATGTTTTAAATTTTCAGGAACAAAAGAAAAATGTATAAATTCACTTTCATGTGTTTAGGTTTTATTTTAATTCAAATCATTGCTTTTTAAAACAAACATTGCCAAAGAGTGAAGGTATTAAAATAATAGCAGTGTCAAGGGAAAAACCATTGTTTTGAGACCATCTTATTGCAAGCATGCTTATCCTTGTTTGCCTTTTCTATTTTATAAGTGAAAAAAACGTTTTGGACAACCTGATATATTAGGGCTGACTACATTTGATATATATTAACAAGATTAGTGTCTTACTATTTTCCACTGGCTTTGCTGCTCCTCTCTCAAGGAGGAAAAAAAAATGATCAAAAATTGAATTCAGGATTTTTCTCAAGAATTTAAAAATTAAAGATTTTTTTACTCTCATAAAAGTTGTTTTGTGCATAATGTAAAAGCAATGCTAATGATTTTATCATAGAAATGCATTAAAAATTAGGAAAAAAGGGATTGTCAATCCAGTGGTCAGAAAGCATTACTGATAGAATAGGGTGACCCCTTTTAGACTAAGGGGCCAAAAAATCAACTACAGCATCAGGTTGATAAGTTGTAAAAAAAAAAAATGAATTGGTCAATCAATCAAGTTTCCTTCTTACAGACATTCACCCATCTCCCTAAAAGAGATGTGAACGTTATTATTTGTCTAACTAGGTGACTTCACACAAATCTTTATAGCAATGTCCACTGGCCTAGACAAGGTGTAGTAAACAAAAAGAAGAAAGTGATGAGAGGGGGGGTCAGAAAGTGCAGTGCACTGTTCACCGGCAGACCAGCTCTTCTTTCGTCGTCAGTCACCTCAAGGAAATAGATTGCGAGACTCTCTTTCTCTGCCGTTACACCGGGCAGTCGTGAAACAGACATCAACTCAGCCATGCCTACTTTGACTTCCTCTTTGTCCATCAGTCAATTCGTATGTCCAACTCTGTTGCACGAAGTCTGCCGAATGACCCGAACCTTCTGAGTCGTGCTGCTGGCATCTCTTTTTATGCTTGTCTGATACAGCTGAAATTTGCATGTGTGTGAATATCATCTCGTTTTGGATGAGATCGGCACACATAAATTGTGTCTTCGATAGCGGCCATATTTCTTTTCTGCGTTACTTTGCAAGCAAGACATGTTTGCACTCATTTTGAACTTCGAGGTAAGTCATGTCTTTCATCACAGAAGGTGTCCGTAAGGATATTTGTAGTTCACTGACAAACCCACATGATATTGTACAGTTCATTAATTTATGGGTTGAGATGCACCAATGTTGAATTGGGAAGGGGTTCTGATGATTTAGTGGACCATGATCCTGGATATTGGGTGGACATGAGAAATGCAACACACTACATACACACAAACCCAGCAACCTAACATTTACAATGTCATCAGCATAGATACTGAATCGGAAACTAATGACATCAGGAAGTTCATTGATAAAGAACAAAGTAAGTCTAAGAATAAAGCCCTGAAGGACACCTGCATTAGTGCAAAAAAAAAAAAAAAGATCTAGAAGAGTGGCCATTCAAAACAACTTTCATTATGCAGTTTGATAAGAAAAATTGAATTGTCCTGAGATAAAGAAATTTATAAATCCTTTATCATATAAGAAAAAAAAATAAAAGCAGACTAATTACAGCAAACACAGTTATCTTCAACACCCCTCAAAATACAAAGAGAAATCGAAATACTCTGACAAAATACTAATATTAATGTTTCTAATGACTTTAATATAGAAAGGTTACCCTACTGTCCAAGAATTCATTGATGGGGAACCCTCATTTATGCACTTCAGACAAAACAGGCACTAAACAGGTCAGTTTAAACCAGCTTTTACTTATAGTCAGATTTTACAAGGATGTAATGAACTGCTGAAGCAAATGTGTCAGATTTTTACATATTTTCTTTTAGGGGTCACCAATCTGTTATTGGGAAGAGAACTGAAAACCTGTACTATACCATTGAGTTCTACCTACACTTGCAGTACAACACTAAAGCTTTAAATATTATGCTGATTTATTATGCAATTACCTACCTATGTTGTATGCAACTTCCTATACGCAACCTCCATGAAATAATTCACTTTGGCTTCATTCTTTCAAGTTATTTTATTGCAAACACATCGGTTGATAATTCAGTTACAATGTAACGATTGTTTCTATGTTGGTGAAGCCCAATGACAAATTTGATTTCTTTTTTTTTTTTTTTTTTTTCCTCTATTCTATTGAAAAATGGTAAAAGTTGAAATTACAGGAATATGGAATGGCAACTGAGAATTTCTGTTAAAGTTCCTGAAAACTGATTTTTTTTTTTTTTTTTTTTTTTTTGTGTTGTACTGTTCACAGGTAAAATTTTAATGGTAAAATTTCAAAAATGTCTTGTTTGTATTTACTTTGTATTGCATTAAATATCAAAGATGCTTTAAAGAATTCTATGTTCTGCTCCTAATTATTACTACTTTTCTTTTTTTATTTTCTTCTAGGGGATGAATTTAGCAACAAGGTGAGTTTGGTATTTGTCATCTTCTAATTAATGGTTTTTGCCATACAGTTTTTATGGTTTTAAAGAAAAAGCATTTTTTCAAAAATGATTCCTGAATCTCTTTGAAGAATTATTTTTGTTTCAATCATTTCACCTCAAGCAAGATAATAAATCCACTAAGATGCAAGGCATCACTGATTGTTAAAGAAAATGAGAAAAAATACAATTAAGAAAATATTGCTATTAAACTGCATTAAACTTTTGAAGATTAAGGTTATGATACAACATCCTTGGGATGTCTCAGAAACACTAAAGAGCTAAGAGGAACATTATCTAAGAGTCTCAGTTTGCTACTATGACATAAGTTTACTTGAAAGCAAAAAGCCAGAAAAGTTCCACAAGTGAGAAGTGTGAGAAGAAATTGTTAGCATAGTAATTGTGGTTATATCAAGCCATTTCAATTGTAAAGTGATGAGACCTTATTGCCAATCTAGTACTGGGCTTATCATAAAGTCTAGGTACGATAGAGGAAAGTTCATTAGAACAAACTTTCTTCTATACTTTTATTACAAGTTTTGTTGTTGTAATGATGAAAAAAATAAATAAATAAAAAAGCTTACCAGAACAATTACCATGAAAGTATTTATGAAAAATGCCCAAGGAAACTACATGATGGCAATGGGGAAGTAATTGAAGCTGAGATGGCAAGACGGAGCCTATAATATTACAGATTCTTTGGATTTTATCAAGAATCATATTGGAGGGAAATAAATATTTATACAGATACATTTTGGTCGAAAATCTTGAATTTCCTGCTAATTGGATCTTCCAATAAGATAATGATCCTAAGCACACTGTAAACTCTACAAATAAATGGCTTGCTGAAAATAATGTAAATATTCTGAAATAGCCAATTCTGTCCCCAGATTTAAACCCAATCATAAATATGTGGCATTATTTGAAAATTCAAATCCAATTGAGAGCTCCAACAAACATCCTGAGTCTGAAGACCCTAAGTGAAAAAGAATAAACAAAATACTAAGTAAAATTTGCAAATCATTGACAACTACAAGAGGTTGGTTGCTGTAAATGTTGTGCCAAAATGTAGATGTGGAAGCCTAATCACAATAAAACATATTCTATTGGAATGCAAAATCACAACTAGAATAAGACAAAAATATTTCAATGGAAAAGGTTTAAAAGAAATTTTCAAAAATACAGATACAGAAAAAATATACAGTTTTCTCAAGGAAATAAAGATCCCCAATAAAATATAACCCTTTCAAATAGTGTATATGTATGTGTATATGTGTTTATAAATATATATATGCATGTATGAATGTAAATATTAAAATACACAATCAAAAACAGTCACAATAAAAAGCAATCCCCAAAAATACAGATAATGAAACCGAACAGCCTTTCAACTTTTTATACAAAATAACCATCTTAAATTCATAAATTAATAATGCTTTGGCATAAATTGACCCAAATAGGAGTTGACATGCCATTAAATCCAACATCCATCCATCCATCCAAATGGTGTGGCAGAAGAGGATTGCAGGTAAGGTAGAATGATTGAAAGACAGATTTATAAACAGTTTCAAAGACATTCATAATCCAAAAATAAATGATTTCAAAACTTAAAATATTATTATAGATTACTTTTAATTGCATGCATGAGTCCCAGTATAAATAGTTATTGAGCAATTTTATCATTGTGATATTTTCACATATCATGTATTAAGAATATAGTAACTAGGGTTCGCAAATTGGAGGAGAGTTATCAATGATAATTGCATGCATAAGTGCGAGTATAAATAGTTATAAATAATTATTGACTGATTTTATTATTGGGATATTTTTTGCATTATATCAAGTATTGAGTATATAGTAACTAGGGTTCGCAAGTTGGAGGAGAGAGTTATCAATGATAATGTTCTAACTTCAAATCTGCATTTATCTCCTTTTTAATCCTCTGTCTATTTTTCATATTTTAATGTACTTTTTATCACATAAAATTTGAGGCACATGCAAATTTTCATTCTGAAAATGTGGCACAGAGAAAAAAATGTTTGGGAACCACTGGCTTAAGTTAACTATTATAAAGTTGGCATTTGAAGTTGGCATCTAGCAATGAACGTTTTAAACTTTTTATTTCAACCCATTATTGATCTCTTGCTGATCGATGGGTCGTTAAGTTTTAAACAAATCAACCCATTATACCCAAAAGTATGTTGTAATTCCTTTGTGCATGTAAATTCAGAATTTAAATTTGTGTTTTTTGTTTTTTCAGTTACCTGTGAGTGGTTACCACATAAGTAATGCACCATCATCTTCAATGAATCCAAGTTATACAGACATTACCCGTTACTCTTCCTCTGAGGTTCCCAGCATGCACCATTCCATGTCAGATTTACATGGTTTCGATGAGGATGGCCACTCAAAACTAGACAAGGAAAAGAAGAAGAAAGGATTTTCTTCGTTTTTTAAGAGAAAGAAAGATAACAAAGATAACAAGAAATAAGACACACTCTTTTATTGCGAACTTTGCATAATTTGCTTTGTCCCATCCCCTATTTCTTACCAGTATTACCTACTTACGTCCCCTTCCCTACTTACCTCCTTTTCCCCCCCCCCTCTTTTTCAGAAGAATGGTTGCTGGAATTTTCTCTAATTTCCAAAAATCTGACAAGAAAAAAAAAAAGTTGATTTTGTTTTATATTTTAGTTTCTATATTTTGCTGAATATTTTAGGATTTTGTTTTTTGTTGTTTTTTTTTTTTTTGTTTTCCATTGAATATTTTGGATGGATTTTTACTTTTCTTTTTTGTATCAAACCCCCCCGACCACCACCACATTGTGTGAATTATTTTTTTCATGTTCTGACCCTAACACAAAAATATTCCTAAAATAAATCTCCCTTCAGTTTTTAACTGTTCTTGCAGAAATAGTGTATGATACTAATCAAAGTAAAACTTAGATGGAGAAAATTCATGTAATTTTTATTTTAAATATTTTTATTTTGTATTACTAATGAAGATCATGCTTGTTGGCTTTTGTAGAATATGTGGGCACAATCCATTATGGGCATATTTTTTGTATACAAGACTTTTTGTATTATTACAAAATTCTGATTTATTAATATTTTGGCTAAACTGGACTTGGATTTGCGAAAGGCCATGATTTTGAAACAGTAGAAATTACTGAACAGATTTACTTGTTGGCATAACAGATTAATTCCTGAACTTCATTAATTTTCATTGCTAAAATTTACCAGAATGCAGTAACATACAAAATTATATTTTCCTAAGTATAAACTGGCAGCACTTTTTCAAGGGAGACAACTTATTTTCTTATTTACAATTGTCTCCTTTATAAAGGAAATTACTGAGTGTAGGTCCCATAACAGAAACAAATATTATGTTATAAATAATTCCAATATTTAATAAATGTAGATTACTTGAATTTGTATTTTATTTTTCTGGAAGAAAAAAAAAACTGGAAATTCGCCAGTATTTTTGGCCCCATGTATCCTGCTGCAAAATCTATATTTCAATCAACCATGACATCATTCCACTTAATCTCTAATTTTTTTTCTCCACTGGTCAATACCTTTTTGTTACAAAAATTCTATTTTTAATGCAGGTTACCTGTTCATTGAAATTTGCATCCTTAGGAATCTCAAATTAAAAAATTCCCTTGTCATCTCAAACATTGAACCAATCTCGATAACGTTTGTAGGCAGTTAGTGTTAAAGATGAAATTACTAAGAGCTTCATTAGAACTATATTTGAAGCTGTAATGAATTCTGCATTATAGTCCCCCCCATCCTTTCCCAATGATCACCTGTCTTGACAATTGCTTCTCAATATGCTACAACCCAGGTATTGACTAGTTTATGAGGCCTGCAAAAATTCTTGTCTTTTTCGACACTGATTTCCTGTGAAGAAAAAAAATATTGAACCTTTGTGCAAAACAAAATCACTTGAAATGACAGTACTTTACATGATTTAATACAAAAATTGAGTAAAAATGATTACACATATGTACCCCCAACCATGTTGTTGCTTGTTATTTCTTTAATCGTATTGGAATTTATATTCTGTAAAATCAAATTCTAATAGATATTATTTTGTCTGTCTTTGGTTGTTGATGTGATCATTTTAAAGCAGTAAGGAGGTATTGGCGTTGCGGATAGATCTCCAATATTTTTTTTTTTTTTTTTACACTTCTGAAAATGTGAGAAGCAAGTAGCTGAATGTTTGACAAGTGTGATAAAAGAAATTGTTAGCATAGAACTTAGTTACATCTAGTCAACTGTAAAATGAGATTTTTCACCAATCTAGTACTGTGTTTAAATTCATAAAGTCAACATACAATAGAGAAAAGTTCCTCAGAACAATTACCATGAAAGTATTTATAGAAAAGGCACAGGGAAGCTACATTATAGTGATGGGAAATTAACTGAAGCCAAGATGCCAGGACCAATAACATTGCAGATTCTTCGGATTTTATCAAGAATATCTAAATATGTAGCAGGAACACAACACCAGATATGGTAGCAATATTCAAAGCAAAGACAAACAGTAGACTTCTAAATCTGTAAGATAGATTCTGTCAGGAAAAATTGTCTAGCTACAGATAAAAAGAATACATTACATAAGAACAATGTAAATTTATACAAGAGATGAAAACTTTGAGAATTAGAATTTTTCTCCAGTCATTTTTATGAATATTACCATAAAATTGAACAAGATTTGGATGTTTTATTTATAGTCTGCCAATCTATAAGAAAATCAACTAAAGTCAAAACTACAGAGATGGCAACAGGAAACTACTGTTTTTTCCCCCCCAAGTCCTGGCAATTCTGATAATGAAGAAATTTATGGGGAGCTATAGTTGCCAATTTCCCACAATACAAGAATTGAAACAGAATACAAGAATTGGGTGGCATGAAAGACAATTGATATAAGTCCAGTTAACAATTCTTGTCTTTTGTACATTATAAAGGGCTAAACTCTTATCATTCCAGTGACAAAGAAAATCCCCTAAAAAAGCTTATGAGAAGCTTTTGATGTTCTGTCAGCTTTTTTTCAAATATAATGTTAATTCAATACAAAGTTCAAGAACCATTGAAGGCAGAGTATTATTGTTAAAATGGTTATGATGAATGTAAGTTGATATGAAGTGAAGATTATCAGGACAACTGATCCATGACTTGAAGTTAAAATTGTAATGTTCAGGGAAGTATTATTGGAGTTCTACAATGTAACATTTCTTGAGAAAATTGCCCAAGTCAAACTTTCTCTTTACACTTGAAATGCAGGGGAAATGAGGGTGATTCAACTCTGTGGAAGTAGCAAGGCATATCTTAACAGTAAAGGTTTGAATTGGTGGAGCTAGAAAATAGAGCCAATTTGAACTTTGCTCATGGATATAGCAACAGATTTGCAATATTTGTGCCTGTGGAAAAAGAAGCTACTCCCCTCAAGACTATAAACAATTTTGAATTATTTATTAAAGCTGAAAAGTGAAGATTGAGCTGCTTCAGCCGAGATAGAACAGCAGTACTCCATTTTGATGTAATCTGACTCTTATAAAGTTTAAAAACAAAAGAACTGTACCAAATAAAAAACATTATTGCTTGAAGACTTGCAACTGCTAAAATGAATATCACATGCAAGTCAAAAAGAAAATAAAGATATAACCAAGATATTAACATTTCATGCTACTTCAGGCAAAAGTTTAGGAAGGAAAGCTTTTGTCAATACTGGAAAGAGGAATAACAGCTACTGGACTTTGAGAAAGCTATTTTCCTGAAAAATACTTTCCTGAGAATTTATAAATTTCAGGCAACAGTGGTATTGACTGCTTGGTCACTGAATACCTATATCATCACACACTGCCAGTCACCAAGCAAGTCTGTGGTCAATCCATATGGTCAGCTTTGGAGGTTTTAACCCCGATTCTCAATCCCACCCTGCCTCATGTAGTGTTTGTTTTAGATCACAAGGCAGGTGAAGTCCAAGTCATATACCCAACATCACTGATCCAGCAGCCTTGGCGAGATGACGCCACAAGGAACAAGATAAGAGACAGGTGTGTAATACAACTTTATATGAAAGATTCATACAATGAATGTTTTTTCGCACTAAAATAACATGCAGATTTTCAGCACCTTCCCTTTTAATATCCTGTGGCACTATGTTTAGCCATGCTTAGCAAACTGGTACAAGTCTGGAGTCTGATTTATTTTTTTTTTCCACTGTGTTATTTCTTCGGGCTGACACTTCAGTTGTATCTGGTCATCTGGAACAAGGCCGGAGTCTAAGTTCTTTCTGCAGAAGTTGTGTGAGGTTTGGCAAAACAAGATTCCTCAATCTGAGCTGCTATCCATTACTCCACAATGCCTGCTCTTTTCAATTTTGCCTTCAGAGTTTCAATGTTGTGGTGCTGAGTAGAATATACCTCAATCTCAATAACTGCCCACAAACAATAGTCAAGAGCATTGATATCTGTTGATAAGGATGACCATTTCTCTTTGCTGATGATGCCAGGACAGTTGTCTCTGTTGCATTGCGCTACACAAGTGTCTTGTTGAAGTGTAATGTTCATCACCATAAGTGAAATTGCACCTTGAGTGCACCTTCCAAGATATTCTGTATGTACATTTGTTGATCTTTACTCCTTGAAGTACAAAAACGAGAGGAGACTTTTGTCTTTCTGAAATGGCTGTCCAAACCATAATTGATGCTGGTTTCTGGATTCTGAGGCATTGTCCTGAAGACTGAGAACTTGTTGAAAAACACAATTGATTTGATTAAGTCTGTTCAGCAGTGAAGATGTTTTGAAATGAGCCATCATAAATCTGTTTCAGCAACTGCTTAATACTTTAAAATATATATTTTTCATTGTGTCTACTGAAAGAAGATGGTTATCTTGCAAGGTGAAATCCTTTGGATCCTTTTAACATAGACTCGGCATGGTTCCTTTTGATGTCCTGGCTTCCTTAATCAATTTTCTCATTGACCGTCTTGGATTACACTGGTTGTTTTTTGTTTTTTTTTCTCTCTCCACACATCACATCTGTTTAATAAGTTCTAGTGGTGAAAGGATATCTTGGTCTCAGTCTATCTTTGATGGAGGAAGTCTCGTATCAATCAGCTGTCTTTTTGATAAAACATTCTATTGATGGGGCTACAGGTTGTGAAAGAATTAGAAACAGAAACATTAATAAGGAGTGGAGAGACAAGAGTCCTCAGGAGGACAGTAGATTTGTGATTGACATTGCATTTAAATTTTTGGAGATTAAAGTCAGCTGGAAAGCCTGGAGCTGAAAGGGAGTTCCACGAGTGAGAAGTGCGAGAAAATAAACTGTTAGCATAGCCCTTGTTGTTTTCCAACTTTAAAAATCTCAGTTGCTCAATTATATACTCTTAATTTCTATAGACATTGTTTCCAGTAAATACTAAACACTTTGAAAAAAAACCCAAAGAGTACACATTGTTGGGTGAGTATCAAATCA